GATGTTCAGACAGATCCTGGATAGCGCTGAGTTAGTTGGGCTGATTGCGTCTTGATGCTACTGACATGCCTCGCTTTCCACGTGTTCGGTGACCATGCTTTTGCCTTCGCGTTGCTTACTATGTCATAGAAGATAATCGGTTCCGACGTCTCGAATGGCCTGTTGCTCTGCTCGTAGCACTTGGGATCAGCAGAGGAGGTCGAATATAACCGGGGAGAGGGAGCTGAAGCGAAATGGGGGGATCTATCCGCTTATATTTGTGGAAACAGGACTAGTCCGTCCCCATGAACACCCAACCCTAACCCGTGGCGCCAGGGGAACGATCGTGTTGGACAAGCCTGGGATACTGATGGTACTGCAAGGTAGAGATAGCAAGACTTCTTGCAATTGGCGGCCGAGTAGCCTGCGCATGACCACGTTCTTCAGGCCTCTCTGCCCCGGCACTCGATGCGTCGCTGCGCTCCGCAAGCCTCAGGAGGGAGTAGACCAAAACAGGAAGGCGAAATTGATGGAACGAATCGTGAAAAGATCTGGAGGGGGGAAACGAGCGCGATACTCTCAGGTACTGTCTGTAAGCGCTAGAACGGATGGGGGCGAGACTATCAGATCTCGAGACTTGACAGAAGCAAACTAGCTCCTGCACGATCTATCCGCTGCTTGTCTGCAGTACACAATTGGACGAGTGGTAACGCGGCAACCCCATGAAGCCGAAGTGAAGCCGCAGATCCCCTGACCCCCATCCTACGACGCCATCTTGGAACCTCGAGCCGCAGCGCTCCAGTCGCAACCTTATCGGGCGGCATCCTGCATCCTCGCGTGAGACACAGACCAAGTGGTCCATGCACCGATACTCACTTACTGGCACTCGTAGGGTGTGGTAACGAATTTGAACCCACCAGCGTTCCGGAGACGAGAGAACAACGCGGGTTCGCACTCATGTGGCAATTTCAGTGCCCAAAAACGTTGGAGCCTTGTCGCTACGCCATCGAGTCGTCAGTATGACGTTCTCGAAAAGGGGGCTTTGCGGCTTCGAAGAAGGCCCATCTCCGAGCAAAGGAGTCGATGTTACTGAAGTCTAGGTAGTACCCCACGTATGCTTCCCAGGGATGTCGTCTGACGAATTGCTCCACTCGAACCTTGAGTGAGCGGAGTGCTCGAGGGATGCTTCAGGAAAAGCGAGAAGAGTCGGGGACGTGTGTCGGCTACAGGTGAGTGATTGGTTTGGATTGCGATATTGAGTTGGATGTGGATGTGGGAGAGGTCAGAGAGTGCGGCGTTCATGGGCTTCAATTCAGATTCTAGCGCTCGTCCTCAGTGCTTGGTTCCCAGGAACGTAAATATACACGTACGTATCGTCGTCAATGGTCGCAATTTTATGTCCATAGTTGTAGTCGAAGTAATACAGGTAGTCGATGTCGAATATGAAAGATGCCAGATTGCGTAGGAGCGGAGCAGACAAGTGGTAGGGATGTTTTTGTAGACACACTTTTCCCGTAACGCACGTAGGAACCCTGGGCTGAGGAGAGTGGCAAGGACAGGGATACAAGCCTGGAGGTCATAGCATCAACGGAGAACCAGGCTGTCCAGTGGCCCTTCGCGTGGACCGGCGCATCCTCCCGCGCTGAAGCCCACCTAGCCCTATCTGAACACGCATATATGCGTACTAGGCGGGTAGAAAACACTTACACATTAAAAGAGACTCTGGCGCAAGTATGCCTGGACGGCATGAAACGCAGAGTAACGTACTAATTCAGGAGAGAAACTTGTCTGCTCCATGAACAGAAGCCGCGAAGGACATACACTCATCCTGCACGATTTGAGAGTAGTCAATGGTCGTGTTGCTCCTGTCGTAGTATCAGGACGCTAGAGTCCACTAACGAAATACACGCGTTAGTATCGGACTCGAAAACTTCAGTCTCTCTGCGAAAGGGGACGTTCGTGTTCGTGGCGCGTCGCACACACGGAAGAGGGGGACTGGGTATATCGGCGATATACATTATCAAGGTGGACCGTCTCGTGCGGCGTGCGCATGCTGCACGTCGGTCGCGCGTAACCGCGACGCGCACAGCTTCGCGACGAACGTTCACAGTAGGACACCGTGCACGCTCAACACGTACTTAGAAAGAAGATGTGCTCACCATCTTGTGTCACTTCCCCTCGTCTCGATGCTAGCTCCGTGTAGCACAGGCTCGCTTTCGTGTCTGATTTCGCGGCTCGTCTCGTCGTGGGCGATGTCAGGTACCCGCATAGCAAGAATAGAGTCGATTTGGGGGCGGTCCGGGTGGTGACTTACGGTCATCGGCAACCAGTGTTACCACAGAGCAGAGCCTGCACGTCAGGCTTTGAGGATGTATGGCAGTCGGCTGTAGCGTACAAAATAGTGGTCTGTTGAGAGCCGCAGTGTCTCGAGTTGCGTGCCTATCGGGGCCGGCACGGGGACACGGGCCGAATCACCGGGCCACTTTGCCCGGCGCCGGCACAAGGCCTGGACGAGACTCAGTACCGTTGGTTTCTGCTCTCCCTTTCCCCGAGCTCATCTCTCCTGCTCTGGTACCACCCCAATGTCCCTGTCAGCGATGTAGTACTAGAATGCAATTACACTGTCGTGCTTCAGGCCTCGCCGCGCCGTCCTGCAATTGAGCCAGGCCCCCGGTCCCGCAAATCGACATCGCCTGAACAACGTCATCGGAGGGTATGCAATCGGTTCGCCTATGGTCATCCTATCGTCTCCAAGTCAGTAGCGATGCGCAAGAAGAGACGATGGACTTCCCTTCCGACTCTCCTTATTCTTGTGTCGCTCGCGCCCACAGATAAAACACAACTCGTGTCACCGGTCACCCTCTCAAGCAGGTTCAAAGCGATAGGTGTGGCATACATCCACAAACCTGAGCAGCTCTTTCGACTGCCACCCTGCCGCTGAAAGTGAGCCTTCTTAGTGCCAACATAGGTACGACGTCGTTTTCTAGTGATGCTTATGCTCGCACATTCTTTCCCGCAGACCGCGACATCGGCCACTGAGTACTCATCAAGCAGGGAATATCCTTTCTGCACACTCACGCCGCCACACCCAACAATCACGGCGTCATTTCTAACGGCATTCGGTGCATCTTCACACCCGCCTTCCTCAATGCAGCCTTGACGCTCTAGATGTTAGCAAGACGTGGTTGCGGGTACAGTGCTCGATCGATTCCGAGCTTCGAGGCCGCCATTTCCATAGAGGGAGAGGGGCTTGGGTGTTCATGTTGCGCTCTGCCGGTACGTCCTCACCTGCCCAATCGATTCCTTTGCCAGCGAAGAGGACGTTTCTAGGTTCTGCATCGATGACAGGTTCACCAATGCGACTTTGACTTGTATCTCGTCTGAAACCTCGCCGCTCTTCCCCCTCACACCTATACCTTCATCGCGCTACATCTTGGCCACCTTTCCTACATTTCAGTCGCAGCACATCGCGATCCAGGCACCTGCTCACTACACAAATCTAAGCCCCTCTCGCATCACTGAGTCAGCTGCCGTCGTGAAACACCACTAGCATCAGGTCGCGGACAGCGTCGGGTTCTCTAAACGTCTCAGGCATGAACTCTGAGGCCCAGCGGAACACTGAGAAGAGCGCTGATCGGGAAACCATCGTGCTTCCTCCTCTTACACATTCGCCACTAGTACGGCGGGTTTAAGGCTAGCCCACTTTCAGAGGGCAAGATCCTTGGGCGTCTCTCTCCTCCCGGGCTGTTGCCACCAGCATGATCAACGGCGGGATCACGCGAGGTTGGACCCGCTGGACGCGGCGTCGCTGTTTTCTGGGGTACTGGTCTTTTTGCTTCATTGTCCCGCTAGCGACAAGGCCGCCCTGAATCTCGTCCATGCAGACGGACTGGTGCTGAACCCTCCTCCTCCCCCAACGAGTATCACATGACTATTCTTCCTCGACATAGATGCGCTCTACCCGGGCTAGGTTATGTGCTAGGGCGACGGTACTCTGGAGCGGACCGCGCAATTGCCGTCCGACTTTGCCCCAAGACCATCTCCCTGATCTTTGGCCCACGGTGGAACGTTGGATAGTTTTGGCCCTATCTCGTCCTGTTTCGCGCGGTTTTGCTTGCGCTTGCAATAGTGTATGCCAGTTAGAGTACCTGTGATGCTTATGAGAGTGTTGTTCGTTGCAGTTTTGTGTGACGAGCTCCTTGGAGGCAGATCGGATTGATCGGCTGCAATCCTTGGTGCGAACAGTTGTATGTCTGCCTCGAAAATGCTCCAGTGACGAGTTCTAAGACAAGGAACACAATTCGACTGAACAGAGATCGCTGGTAATCATTGCGCAATTGCACATGTAAAGTGCGGTCTCGTCCCACTCGACGTGTTACCACAACACATATAAATGGCCCTGGATCAATCTAGGAATCAAGCGCAAATACATACGATCCCTGGGTCGACGAGCCAGCCGGCGCACGATGCGGTTCACTTCAACTCGAATTCTACCGTCCTTGTCGCTTTCCTCATACCCACCAGTCGTTGAGCTAGCCTACTCCCTCGACGTCTGAGTCGGATCGTCAGCTCTCTCCCCAATGTCACCATCATTGTGATCTTCTGTCAGGTAATCTTCGGCGACAATCGATGCTCCGAGTGATCCAACGACCCGTTCGACTATCAGGGAGTGGTCGAGGTGCAGCGACGAAATCTGTGAGGACGGTATGGAGCCAACGGCCCGGAGGCTTGCTGACTGCAGGCGGAGGAGGAAACGTGACACGAGTATGGCGGATAGCCTGCGTAGTCCGAGGTACACGTGAAAAGTCAGAGGACATGGCTTCGAGTGACAGATGCATAGGCGTACATACGGGAAAGTGAAGACTGTCACTACGCTTATAGACGTAAATGCATCTACATCAATCTATAACGCAGTGTCAGATATCGCGCTGGTTTCAGAATGTAAACTCACCGAAAGCAATGTGAAAGCGAGATGTTGGGAATTGAGCACAGCGAGGATGCTGAGTAAGGAAGGAGTGAGATGTGATATGCCGGAGGGAAATGTGATTACTCACAGGAAATACATGGTCCCTGCGTAGATGATGCTGTTAGCATTCTACGCCTAGGAAGACATCGTCGCTACTCAGTACACACCATCAATAAGCAGGACGCTAGATATAGAGCCCTTAAGCACGCCCCTACGGTGAGTTGGAAACCAGAGATCTAATGTGAACCATGTTGCACCTATGGCGAGGAATTCTGCTGCAATTAGGCACGACCGAGAAATGATTGTTACTATAGAGGCCCGTGAGATTGAGCATTAATGTCAACTCTAATTGCACTTTACACCTAGAATCGGTGAGGTTGGGCTTCAGCGGATAGTCTCAATCGACGCTTTCAGGCAAAATCACTTTTGGGAGAGACCGATGGACTCATTGTCAGCCGCTACACATCCAAAGGGAACGAGGTTCTCGCCGGTCAGTCCGAACCCGAAGTTAGCCTGTTGAGAAACGCGTGTGTGAATCAGTTTTCGGAGGATAGTAACGAACATGCGGTGAACCAATCTCACAAAGTTGACTCCAACAGGCACCAAGGATAGGACAGCAGTAATAGCACACAGAGTCAAGCTCCTCCCGAGTGCATAGACGCGTAGGGCCGTGAAGGCTTGGAATCCAAATCATCAGAATGTGCTCGTGGACACCAGTGGGTATAGGGTGTTCACCTGCCAGGACTATGACAAGCAAGTAAGCAACGGCATCAAAACCCATGGCAGACAGGGCACTGCTGCATAAACACAATTGATTGCAGTACTTCGTAGAGAGTCCATCAGATTAAGTCACCTCTGCATAAGTCAGTCATACCTAGATCCATTGCATCCTAGCAAGGGCGGAATGCGTACCTTATCGGATATGTTCAATCCCGTTGCAAGATCCCAACCCAAATAGAGCGCCGTCGTATACTTATTCAGCCAGAACAAGATGGCTGCCCCTGTTAACTTCCGGCCCCAGAAACACCGGACTTCTTCACCAGTCGTGATCACTGAGTCGTAGAAGACTAACGCTGCGAAACAGGTCGATGGATGAATCAGTGTTAATGCTCAAGGGTATTCAAGCAGTATGCTGCAGCTCGGTAAGGAATGTACCTGCTGCAGCAGCACCGCAGAGGCTCCCAGTCGATATCATGCTATGTAGTCATATAATTGATATTCAGTGGCGCTACCAAGTTGCTATATGAGGACAGGGCACATACAATTCCGAAGATTCGGCGGCAGGCTGGTCACTCTGTGAAGACGCCATAATTTGAACTGGGACGCAGGGATTCAACGCGAGGTCTGTGGGATGTAATCTGGAATGCTGAGGATGAGCCGTGTGGACGATCCCAGTGTAGCGTGTGATGTCTATGAGACGTTGCGACGGGGAGTGAGCCTGGAAAGAGTAGGACTGGAGCTTATATATTCATTCCCGCGTAAGCATGAAGACGTAACCAGCACTAGGGGTACCTGAAGGAAAGGTGGACCAGTTTCGCAGCGCATTGCATGCACGGTCATTCCTGATGAGCTGCGATCGATAACAGACCGTACATACCTACACGGATGGGCGTGCCAGTTGCTGACATGTGGCCTGCGCTGTGTCGAACGCGGTGCGTAGAAAAATGCTTAGGATAATGTACCAGTTGTGCACTCAAACAGGTGCGAGTGCATCAAGACACAAATACCTTGCCATGCACGTAGATTAAGATAAAGCATTCGCAAGCGTACGGGCAAAGCCACTCGCGAATAATACTGGGCAAAACGAGTACTAAGACAACTGCGGAAGAGACCGCGGTGCCGCAGAGAAGCGGTGCTGCGATGTTCTCATGAAACATGCAAGCGACGATGGCACGAAACCTTCAGTCGGCCCCAGGAACGCGATAACAATCTGGGGCACGAGATATAGTTAGCACCATGACGGCTCTGGACACAAATCAATTAAGATGTGTACCTTCTGGTACAGGTTCTTACGCACGCCCTGATCGTTTACGACCTAGTCCTAGCCCTTGAGTGCGTGCTCATTGGCGCCATTCCTCAAGAGATGTACGATCGAGTGTCCACCCCTCTGATGGCTTTCTTTAAGGTTTTCTGCAGCCTTCTGCGCCACCTGTTAGGGCTATCGGCTGATCCCACGACCCTGCTTCTGATGTTACTTTGCCATTGCCGCTTGCTGTCGCTGGATATTGAGGGACCGAAGGCAATACATAGAGTGGAGAAGCAGAGCGTGAGGTGGCGGTGTAGAGCACTGAGGACAACGCTATGGACGCTGGCGGAGGCAAGCATGTTAGTTTTCTTCGATTTGGGCGCCAGGTTTGAGGGCCTGCAGGGAAGTGACGGTAAGCATGGATGTTCGCAGACTACTCCAGTGAAGCAGAGATGACAGCGACCATTGAAGGAACTATGATGAACGTTGCTTCCACACTGTCCACGACGCACTGGCACAGGCTTGCAGATGTCCGATCATCATCGGGGAATCGTTCGTTATGAAGGGTCATAGTGAAACCCAGGGCCACTACGCATAAATGACCCTCTGGACAGACAAACATAATGCGACCAGCTCAGGAGAGGTAGAAGTGATTTACAGCAGACGAGGCTTGGAACTAGGTGATAAGCGGCGAGATCATCCAGGACTAGCGCTTCGTATTGTGTGAAACCCTGCTTGGCTCTCCCTGAAGACGCGTATGTGCGTACTGTGAGCGCAGAGACACTCGCACGTAGACAAACGGGTTTCCGCGAGGGTTCCGAGGGCACAGAGTGAACAACGTACTGATCCAATACGCGCACATGTCCGATATATACGTGGAAGTCACAATTCACCTGTGAGGACATATGTTCGTCTTTCGCGCGTCAAGATTGTCGAGGGAATGCTCGTCCATGTTGGGGTAGCCTTACGCGAGATCTCACTACTGAGATATACGCATCAGCATCGTAGTCGTCTGCTTCAGTGTTCGAACCAGATAGCGCGCGTGGTGGTTGCACGGCGCATCATATTCCACAGCGAGAGTGATCCGGGAGCATTTATCGACCGCCATTTCGGGCTGTCTGGCGCGGTCTACGCACCCTGGCACTACCCACGGCGCGTGCAGCTTCGCGACAGACGTCCACAGTAGGACGGCGCACTGGCTCCGAGCTTTGAAAGGGGTACTCACCGTCTTACGTCGCTTGCATTTGTCTTCTGTGCTAACACTAACTCCAGCGGGCGCAGGCTTTCCCTCATTGGCGTGGTCGTCCTTCGTATCGTATAAGGGAGATTCGTCACGGGCGTGGCTGGACGCAGTTCAGGACTAATCGCCAAGCTCGACCAAGTTCGCTCGGCAGACGTCGTCAACTACAGCTCGATGTCCACGGACACTGAGGCCTCAGTCTAGATCGAAGATGCTGGGGCGTCCGACACAGGGAGGAGGAGATGGGACGCGCGGCTGGAGACACCGTCAGTAGTGATAGGGAGTCCGCTGCTGACGACAAGAGGGGTCGTCGCAAGGATGCAGAATTTGGACAGATCGAACGAGGATCACTACATGTCCGTTTTCAATACGCCAATGGTTACGCACAATGTCAGGGCGCAGTATGCATCAAGTTGACTGGGGCTCACTAACAGATGGCGACCTGAGGAGTTTGGTGGGGACCAGTACTACTACAGAGAGCCCTGTACGTCAGTCCTCTGAGTATGCCTCGAAGAAGCTCCTGCGTACCAATCTCCATTATGGCGCTGAGAGAAAGTCAACTTCGCGGTTGAATATGTACCACGGCACGTACTGCTCGAGACCAGCTCTGGAGTCATCCATGTCAAGAGTCAGCTAGGAACTGAAGTCGACGTGGAGATGGCGGACGAAATCAAAGGACGAAACGCTCTATGTAGCCAGGCGAGGTTGTGCATGGGCTGACAGCGCCAGTCATCCAGGAGATAACGTGATCGGGCACCGCCAAACTCTGGTGAAGCAAAGAGAGCTTCGAGCTTGTACTGTGGCAATGCAGCAATATACATTCGGGAGATTCCCGTCCATAGCAGTGAGGCGGGATAGTACCGAGCACAAGACTGTCGCTTGACGTCGATGAACGCTTGCAGCGAGCGTTCCCTCGTTGATGGTGCCACACACTCGCGCGCATCTGGACTCCGTACCTACAGGACGCCAGGTCAGCTTGCGCATTCTACGGGTCCCAAAGCCGAAGCAAAGCGTGTACGTACCATTCGCTCCGTCTCTCCTCCCGCCTGGGAAATCTTCAACAACGCCAAAGAAGAGCCTTACTCTTCGAGCGCGCTAACAAGTCGCGGGCAAACCGGGTGCAAGCACATTCAGCTGGACTCACCGCAGCCCTGGAACCTCGCGTACCAGCTCTAGGCGCGAACTCTTCGCCGCGGGAGCAAGCAGACCGCCTACGACACTCAGCGGGACAGACTACGTCTTCACCTGGATGGCGAGAGCGGCCGAGTCCGACCCTCCGCCCTGATTTGCGTCCAGGCCCTGGCGTCCCGCAGGTCGTGGTGGCCCACTGCGCAGTATCACTGTGCTGAGACTTGAGATCGTAGTTCGCCCTTGAAGTCTGATAAGCGTGTAGTCCTAAGCTTGCAAGACATGAACGTCACGAAGGTGTCCTCACCATCAGCGTTTATTACAGGAAGTCTCTCTCTCGGGTCTCCGGTGTACATAGCGATTGAAATGATCGTTGGAAACGTGTTGTCACAGGCGCCGGTGCCTGCGGATTCCTCTGAGACTTTCTGCACAGACGCTCTCAGAGACACTGTAGGAATTGCCCGGAGGGTGACAACACTTGTCTTGTGAGATGAAAACAAGATGGTCAATTCGCAAATGGATCGGGATTGTAGAAAGACCAGGGTGCATGTACTGTACTACTACTATGAAACCTTGCACTTGCGGCATCTGACGTGACGTTCGCCACGTGCAACTGCCAATTTGACGACACGATGAAATATACTCTTCGAGAACGCTCCTCACGGACTGGATAGAGTGGGAAAAGACATCATCTGAACGCCACGTCCTCGGCATTGAGTGGACCCGAAAACACATTCGCCTCGTCGGCCCTCGAAAGCCGACGGGGTCCAGTGTGTACCGGTATACAGGTCTCGTTACCACTATGCGGAGCAACTATCCATATTCATAGCAAAATTGCGGTGGAAGTCAATTGCACAGGATGGTGCGGTGAAAGTTCGCTCACCAGATGTCACGAATAAATGGGATGAGAATTTCCCGGAGCAAGATTCGAACGGAGGACGCTGGGGTGCAAGTGGCTTTCCCGAGAGTCCGAAGGCTCATGAACGAGGATTCCCCTAGTCGCGACAGGAAAATACAGCCGGATGCAAAGCCAAAGAGGGGTCTGCAGTGCTGGAAACACGGAAGAGAAGATGGGCAGCCTGGCGAGGACAGGATGTGGATGTTCGGAGGCGGGCGCTTGGAGGGCCTCGTAGATGGGAAAAGCCGGACCAATGGGAATGGAGGGAGAGACAGGCCAAAGGCCGCGCCGATTGTCTGCACTCGCCACTCGCCCAGTCGTCAACCGGCCAGGCCGAAACAAGTATTCGCATCCTCCGCATCGCAGACGATGGCCAATCTTCCATCTCTCCCTCCCCTTCCCCCCGAACTCTGCCTTTTTAGGTAACTTCCCCCTCCTCACCCCCTCCTCCCCTCCCCCTCCCCGCCCATGGATATCGCCCCCGTCGACGTCGACATGGCCGTCTCCGATGCCCACGACTCCCACGAGGGCAGCGGCTCCGACTCCGCGTCATCAACGTCGTCTTCGCCACCGCCCTCCCCATCGCCAGCACACAATTCTCCCATTGCCGTTGACGACGACTCCCGTCCCGCCTCCGCCGACCTCCCCCCTCCACTTCTTACATCAGACGCCCCGCCATCGTCCAGCGAGGCCCCCGCCCCCATAGAGGGCGGGCGTGGCCGCAAGTCGAAGCCGTCATCGTCCACCGTCGCCGCAGCGCCCACGGGCGCCAAACCAAAGTCGACGAAATCTGCCGCCCCTCGTGCCTCCTCTCCTTCCCCGCCCCCGCCCGCGCACCCGGCCCGCCCGCCTCTCCAGACGATTCGGCTCGAAATCAAGCTTGGAGGCCCCGACGACTACGAGGTCAACATCTCCGAGCTTGCCAAGGTGACTGGCCAGCGTCCGGCAACACCCGTGCCGGAGCTCACCAAGCACGATACCAGCGACGAGAGCGAGGCTGAGGCTGAGGCCGAGGCCGAGCCTGCTCCCGCTGAGACCGACGACAAGCAAAAGGGCAAGCGACGAAAGCGGGTGAGTATCCTGTCTTCTCGTGTAGCCGGCGTGCGCACTGTCCCTGGTGAGGACGTCGGATGTGAAGCTGTGCGCACTGCGGCGCGGCGGTCCCGCACGTTCGCGTACCATGCGCACGAACGAGTGGTTAGCACTCTGTATATGCGTTCCTTCCAGCGTATATGCAGCGCGCTCTCGCTGTGGTCGCTCACTACACCTTAACTACTTCCTTACTGTTGATTAACGCTGATGCATATACCTTGGTAGCGGAACCATGCTTCCGAATACTACGACACCACCGACCCATTCATCGACGACTCGGAGCTCGCGCAAGACGAGCGAACATTCTTCGCCCAGACGAAGCAGAAGGGCTTCTATGTGTCGAGTGGACAGGTAGCCTTGCTGAACAAGTACGTTACTCTTGATCCTATGCTGTTCTATCCTCCGAGAGAACGTCATTGCCTCCATGCAAGTCCTGTATGCGCCGTATGGTGTGCATATACACGTGCCCGGGATGTGTTCCACCAGGCATCGCGCGAGACCACAGTACCAGAGCCCAGCCGCCAAGACTTCGTCCGTCGTACGATGCACTTCTGCATTGGTTCAGGTGGTCTCGCCTGTCCTCGCTCGCGTACGCCCCTCACTGTTCTCAACCTCCGTCCCCGTCATCTGGAGACATCCCGTTGTCGCCATTGCGCATAGGTACTTGCTCGACAAACCCTGCCGCGAAGCAGCCGAAAGTTCGCTGGGGTGGGCATGGTGCGACGCTGAAGATGCCCTTTGTCGCCCTCCCCGTTTAACTTCGAGCACTTCTTCTCGGGCCATCTCCATCGCTTTTTGCCACTCATACTCACGTACCCTTCCGCAGACCATCGAACAAGAAGCCCAAGTCTAAGAAGATCAACATCCTCGCGCCCTCCGCCTCCGTCTCCGCCGCCCTCTCCACCGCGACCCTCCCCCTGCCCGCACTCTCCATATCCGCAGCCGCTTCCGGACCTTCGCCCACCCCGGCATCGACGAACGGGAATATCAACGGTAAGGTGAAGACAGAAGAAGGGTCGGGGTCGCGAGACCAGCCCATAGCACTATCGGACGGGGAGGACAGCGGCAAGTTGAAGCGCAAGCTGTCCGAGGGCGGGCAGACGTTCGCGAGCCTGTCCGAGGGGGGCGCGAAGAAGCGCAGGAAGACGGTCGAGATCGTGAGTGTTGCGTGCTGTGATTGTGTCGAGAGCGTGTCGCCGACGTCTGCTGTTTCTCCCCCTGTCGTTGCGCCCGCTGGGTCTCTGTCCTCACCCACGACTACGACTGCGACTACGACCATGCCTGTGCTGGGGCCCGTGTCGCGCCGCGCCGCGCAGCACCCGTTCCACCCGGAGCTCGAGCAGGCGATCGAGGTGCTCAAGGAGGCGATCGCGAAGGAAAACTGGGAGGTGAAGGGCAAGTTCCCGCCCGGGCTGAAGCCGATCCTCGCGCAGGTCGCGCTCAAGGCGGTCATCCTCGGGGAGTACGACGAGAACTTCTTCAACCTCATGCCGCGGCTGTTCCCGTACAACAAGTTCACCATGACCGTGAGTCCTCTCCCGTTGCTGTGACGATGCGCATATATTCTAATCCTGTGGCAACAGAAATTGATCAAGCGGACGATATGGCGAGACCACACGAATTTGCTCGTCGACAGGCAGAACGCGCTCATCGAGGAGCTGCGTGCGCTCGCTGAAGAGGGGTTCCCGAAGGCGAAGGAGGAGTGGGAGAAGAGCGTCATGCAGTGGGGTGCGTCCCTTCTCTCTATACCTCCTCCCTCCTCTCTCCGACTCACACCTCCTCGGACACAGAAAAGCGCCAAGAGCGCGCGAAGCTCGACGCTAGCGGCGAAGGCTCTAACGGCGTCGATCACTCACAGGAAGGCTCGCCAGCTGCGAGTGACGCGCAGGCGACGCCTATGATGCCCCGTACGCCTCTCGACCAAGTTGCTATCGCGGCAGCGGACGATGGCGAGCACGAGGATGGCGCGGGCGGCGGTGGGAGGGGACGGGATACACATCCGCCTGCGCAGCGGTACAGGCTGACGGACCAGATGAAGACGATCATCTGGCAGCTGGTGTGTCTCAGCAACGAGTGTTGTCGGATAGAGAACGAGAAGAAGTGAGTGCCTCGTACTTAGATGGGGAGCATGGCGTGACGGCTGCTGATCATTGGCGTGTGTAGCGCACTTGAGGGCTCGAACCAGATCGTGAGCGACCAGGGAGTGAGGAAGAATTTGTATCAGAAGGTACGCATCGTAAATCGCTCGCTTCCGGAGCCATCTTGACTCCTCGCACCCTAGATTGTTGCTGCGTTCCCGGATGGCTGGCTCTCCTCGGGACAGATCTCGCGTGAAGTGAGTGTGATGAAGAAGAAATACGAGAAGGAGGCGATGGAGAACGACTGAACGTTCTGTGCCGTCGTCGCTTGCACCTTTCATTGAACATCGCGGCGTCGCTTCTCTGCGCCACCGCCTTTGCTCGCTGTGCGCTTGTTTCCGCGTTTTCTGGTCTCAGTACTTATTCTGCTCAGTGTTATTCGCGGGTGAACCCGCCTGTCTCGCCGCTGCCTTACCCGTACGCTTGGTTACTAGTGCTCTACCCTATCACGCGTGTATGATAATGTACCTGTGCCTTCTTGACTTTGCATCGGCCTGTGTGACTGCTATATTGCTGTCTTCGGATCTCTCATGCACAAGGGTCGCGTTTCAGCAACACATGAACGCCCGTATGTATCAGTGCTTGCGGTCAATCCTCGATCGCAGCTTATTAGAAACAATCGTGTATGTCATACACGTTCCCTTTGAGTACCTCCACTGGTGGTGAGCGCAAGGTCTTCCTTCCTAGCATTGGCCCATACTAACGTCAGCCCATATTTTGTCTAGTCCTATCTCAAAAATGCTCAATACGCGCCGCAGCACCCTACAGACGTCGGGCGGGCCCTACGCAGAAATCGCCAACAAGGATCATCGGCTCTGACGCGGAAGATAAGACTGACAGAGTCCATCGCCGTATACAACGACCACAACGCAATGCACCAAACAAGAGCTGTCGAGCTCTGAGATGTCCAAGGAGACTTTCATGCTATCATCCGGGGGAAAAACGTCATCAGGGTGAGGTTCAGGATGCAACAGTCAATGGATGTCCGTCCACGACGCTGACTCCACGCGCATCGCCCAGCAGAGACGTGGCGTTGAAGGAGCTATGCGATAAGCGACCATCAAGAAATACAATCAGTGTGCAAAGCATTCGATCGTGGAGTGTCGTCTGTGTTGCGGCGCAGGGCGCACCTTCGAAGCGCCCAGAACATCGTATTAAAACTTCTCAGCACGCCAAGAGACAACCCACAGAACTTGCGTCGCAACCCTTGCTTCCCTCCGAAGCTATGGCCTCCTCGCAGACCGATCAACTTGTCGCCGATTATTTCGTTTCGTATGTGATATTGCCCTATCACCCAATCTCGTATAACGAGCACTGAAGAGGAATGTCTTGACCCCGTAGCATGACAGAAAACTATTGCTTTATCGCAGGAGCAGGTACGGTCCTGACTGGCTTACGGCATATCATTTGGCCGCTCGCGAGACTGAGTGCTGAAACATTAACTGATCTATTCCGCAGTGGTATTCTTATACGACTCAATGATGACGACTGGGGAAGAAATACGCTGTTTTGCTGGCCGGAAGGTAGCCGGAGCAGCCGTCTTGTTCTGTCTGAACAAGTACATGACCATCCTTTTTCTGGTCTGGCAACTGGCAACGGGATTAAACATATCAGATGAGGTCTGTACTCCGCCATAGCTGGGATCAACTGAACACACGTATCTCGACTACTTCTCCAGAGGTAAGGCAATCCGATGGGCTCTCTACAAGGTAATACAATCAATTTTTTGTATGCAGTTGTGCTCTATCTACCAGGGGTAATGCTGCCGTTCAGTACTTGCTTTTCGTAGTCCTGGCAGGTAAGCACCCTATACCCACTGATGTCCACGAGCACATTCCGATAGTTTGACTTCCAAGCCTTCACAGCCATACGCGTCTATGCACTCAGGAGGAGCTTGATTCTGTGTGCTATCACTGCTGTTTTGTCCCTAGTGCCTCTCGGAAGTAACTTCGTAAGATTGTATCACGGCCTGTTCATTGCTATCCCGTAAACACTGATATATGAATAGGTTATATTCAGGTTCGGATTGACCGGCGAGAATATGTCTCCCTTTGGATGCAGTGAGATCGAGAACATGCCCATCGCTCTCTCCAAACAGTAAGTCTTTCCTGTATGCGTCAATTGAGATCATCCACTGAAGCCACGCCTACATTTTCAAGGCGTAAATTGCATCTCAAGTCGACTTCACCACTGATTTTTTGAACTCCATCTTCTTTAGTGACCATCATCTCTCGGTCGTGTTTGATTGCAGCAGACTGCATTGCCATAGGTGCAACGTGGTGCACGTTAGATCTCCGATTCCCTACTCGCCACCGGGGCGTGCTTAGAGGCTCAATATCTAGCGTTCTGCTGATGGATGGTGCGCACTGAGTAGTGCCATTCGAGGCGTAAACCGCTAACGACATGCTACGCAGGGACAGTCTATTTCCTGTGAGTGGCGTGGTCTTACAGCATCGGCGCATCACATATCTTACCCTCTTGTCACTCAGCATCCTTGCCGTGCTAAACTCCCTGCATCTGGCTTTCACACTGCTTTCGGTGAGTTAATATTCTGCAAGCGGAGCAATGCAACATCTGACTGTGGGTGTTGCAGGTCAATACAGATGCACTACAGCCCGTAAGCGTGATGACAGTCTTCACACCCCCGTACGTGCAGCTGTCACCCGATTGATTCCAGGTCCTCTGAACCTTAGTATGTACATCCCGCGCAGGATATCTGCTATCCTCGTGTCGCGCTTCCTCCTCCACCTACAGTCAGCGAGCCTCCGGGCGGTTGGCTCCGTACCGTCCTCACAGATTTCGTCGTTGCACCTCGACCGCTCCCTGGTATTAGAGCGGGTTGTCGGATCAATCGGAGCATCGATTGCAGCCAAAGATTACCTCATAGAAGACGATGGTGATGGGCACTATGTGGGGAGAGCTGATGAACATGAGCCGGCTCAGACTTTGAGGGAGGAGTCTACCATGTCGGTGGATCGCTATTGATACTGAGAACGTTGACCCTTGCTTATTCGGATATACGTGGCTACACTGCTCAACAAATGGTATTTATTGTATTTATCCACGCTGACTGCCTACCTCGTACCATGATGTCCTTGAAGTCATCCTAGCCGTGGGAGGTATATGCGTGTGACCTGCCTATAATGTTGAGACGAAATAAAGCGTCAGTTGAGCCAAGGCTCACGATTTAAACATATTCCAAACAGGTTAATGGCACAGCCGAGAACTCTTGTGAAAGTGTACAGATTGCAGTGTACGTGTCCCGTCTCGGTGTCCGTAAAAACAGTGTCGAATCTGGTAAACGCAGCAAACCAGTACAACAGGACACCACGGGCGGAATCCAATAGCGCGGCCTTGGTCCAAGTCCGGAGGTCAACACAGTACCCTATAGAATCAAGCTCGACTCAATCATCCTTTAGTTGAACACGATTTCGAAATGAGCTCATGAACAGCGTCCGGATCACCAGTCCGATTCATGGCCCGACAGCGCCAGTGATCTGTGACACATAGGACCCTGGACGGTGAAACGACGACACGCTTCAGGTTAGACTCTTCAGCTAAGGGCACTGAAAACCTAAAAGCAATGACCAGCGTGTGAAATGACGGATCGTAGCCCTTCGACTCCATGACGATGACGGTGGAGCGAGCAAGCGTGATGTCGTCCTAGCACACCGAATGGCCTGGACAAAGCACGTAGGATGATTGAGGCTATCTAAAGGCGCGACGGACAAGACGCTAGAGTGACTCGAGGAGAGCCGTCTCGCAACAGTTGTCCGCGCACACAGCTTCGAAGGCAGTCCCGTACTGGACAAGATCGACGAGGCTGCTGAGAAGATCAGCACATCAGGAGGGACGGGCAAGACCGATCTCATGCGATGTGCTCCTCGGTCGTAATGTACGCGCGATAACAAAGTCGGATGACTTTGCGCACCAGATGTCCGCCTCCGGATTGTGAAACAAGTCAGCATTGAGGCAGTTCCACCTCCGGCGGTTGGGTGGGGGATGCGGGGCCTAGCGCTATCTGGACCAGAGATATACGAGATGAGACGGGAGAGAGTTGGAACGAGACGTGAGGGACACGGAGCGTGGCAACGTAGAGCAAGTGAGATCGGGCGAGGAGGATCTGAACGAGCATGGTGAGCCGGACGTGTTCTCCCAGAGGTACGAGGGACCCTGCAGAGAACGCGTACGTCGGGAGGTAGAGCCGGTCTGGCACCTGCAGGTAACACTCCAACGTCATGTCGCATCCGGAGACACGCAAGCCCGCCCTGCTCAGAGTCGATCGTCAAGTTTGAGCCTATGGTTGGTGTAGAACGGGGAAACGTCTTCTCCGCTGGCGATGTCATAGATCGCGCAGCTGAGAACGTCGTCCTTTATGCAATACACGCGGTGGCGACGTGCACATCCTCGCTCGTGAGATGGCAGCAGTAGCTAGCATCGCCGAAAACGCGACCTTGGTCAAGTACGGGAGCAGCTGCTACGACTTCCCGACTACTCAAAGCGCAAATGGGTGAGTGTCGTATCTGTGATACGGATTGAAAGGCACCTGATATCGTCACATATGTCCGAGTCGTTGCGGCTGTCACTTGCCACGGTGACGGTGTACGAAGATGAAGCTCTGCGCGACGAGTACACAGCGGGGGCCAGTGTCAATGTCTGCGAAGTCGAAAGATAGATTCCGTATCAACGAGGATACGCTTCAATGGAAAGGGATATCGTGCTTGAGTGAGCTCTGAGAGCACTCGTTCTGAGCGGTGGGGTGGAAGGTGAACTTCGGGTTGCGGATGTATGCCGCGCCCTTCGACTTAAACCGGCATGAGAGGGTGACCGGTGAGCGCATAGCCCAAACGCTAGTGGTGTTCCATGTGTGAGCCCGAGCGAAGCAAGGAGTCAGTATGGAGAGTCGGGGTGTTCATCGTCACTTCTTGTGCATTGCTATTCACTTGGAGATGATAGGATGCCCATCATAGATGGACCGGTTGCATACCATCCGACGAACTTGTTCGGGCGATGTCGATTTGCGGGACCGGGGGCCTAGCGCAATTGCACGAGGCCGCAGCGAGGCCAGATGCCTGATGGCGCTTTGACACTCTCATATTGCTGGCAGGCACATTGCCGAGGTAGAGACTACAACGGCGGTTTCAAGCTGGCGCCAGCAGAGTAGCGGACCTATGGGCCCGGCTATCCGGCCCGTATCCCCCTCGTGCGACTCGAGACGCTGCGGCTCTCAACACATCACTAGGATCCTATGTGGCTGCAAGACTGAAGGTTTTGAACAGCCCTCCAGCCCTCCAGCATGGCAGCACAAACAGTCTGCGGATATTCGACGAGGTAAGCTACAGTCGTCTGCAATACATGCTCAAGGACTGACGTACAGCTGTGTAGTAGGGAGCGTGGGTTTCCCGATGACCACTCTTCTTGATGTCCAGCTCGCCCAGGAACTCACGCCGAAGACGTGTGGAGAACTCGACGCTTTCCGCGACTTCGTGCGCGCGTTTTTCTGCGACCGCAGTTGCGGAGGTATTGCGACACGGAGTAGCATTGGCATGGAAAGCAGGCTGCTTGAGAGGGGCTGTGCTTTGATTTGGATGCAGGGAGGGCTGTCGAGACCTGACGCGCTGGGGCCTTAGACGTAGAAGAAAAAAGTAAAGAGGATGCGAATTATGCGCAGGGTCAGGTTACGAGAGCCGGTTCCTTATATGAACACGGCGATTCCAGTTGATTCCCCTTGATATACGAAGAGACAGCAGAAGACGCGAACGTCCTGTGGTCGAGCCGATCCAGCGCGTGGTGGTACCATCCTAGAGTCACGTTGTCTAGGGAGACGTGCTGATAGATGCGCCTCGCCACATCCTGAAGTTTGTGACAGTGAGCATATGGTCCGCAGGAAATCCATAAACCTCTTTTCCAAGGGCAATGAAATTGATCGCGTAGTTGCGAACGTACCTGCAGAGTGCGGGAGTGCCTCCACGCCTTTTGTCCTGAACGAGAAGATGTGAAGCTTGGCCTTGATCCAGCACGGACTATATCGGATCGTCGTCTATTGATCTATAGTCCAACGGTGTAATAATGGAGGATAGGTGTGCAGACCGACCTGACACCGCCACCTATTTCGCTAGAGCTATGGCTCGCAACGGCGAGGGTACGAGGGAAGGGAAGGCCTTGCTCCACAATTCCTAGTCGTATATGTCACGACCTGAGGTGGAAAGATTAATTCTGTATTAGCGAGCATTAGCATGAGCGGGAACTTCGTCGTACCGTGGCTGGCTTTCAGAGAGTTGGTCTCAAGCGGCATGGTCGAAGGTGGAAGAGGTGGCTGCGTCGCCTCATGAGGGTGTGCTGCGCCCGCGGTTTTCAGCCTGCGTGAGAGACAGGGAGGTAAGCGAATAGCTCGAATGCTAATCCTGGTCCATTAGTGAGCGCGAGCGATGCATGGAATCAGCACGGAGATTCGGAATTTGTCATCGTGTATTGCAGATCGCTACTAACCTGGCACTGATCACTCCAGCAGAGCATTGGACAGATATGATCTCCGGGACAAATATCCATGAGGTTTGGTACTACTATTCTCCCCAGGCAGGCCAACTGCATGCCATTGCTCAACCTTCTTCACTGGCAGGCGATGTCCGTTTGCGACATAGCTGGACGCAGAAAGCAAAGCTCCACAGAGGATGGAGCTATTGCGTTTTAGTGAAAGCAACGCACCGCATAAGTTCGCATTGATATGGTCCAAGAGCAGGAGAGTTGAGTACCGTGGGCACACATGTGCACGGCGCAAAGAGTCGACCATAAGTCCCGTCCGGACCACCGGCCCGTGAGGTCCCCGTATGCCGCCGCGCCTTGTCGCACGGGAACATTGTTCGCCTACGTCGCTCATGCTCCCCCCATGCCGATTTCATATCGTCGTCGATGCTGTCGACATTGTCGTCGTGTGTGCATGCTCGCTCAACGAACCCGTGTCATAAGGTCATCGAAATCTTGCTGCATGGACGTCGACTGAGTCGTGACACCGAAGGTTCCCTTCCTCGCTCTCCCCGTCCAAGTCCGACCACCTCTTTGATTATTATCTCCGCCGTTTTCTACAAGTCGTACTCGTCCACACACCCGTATCAAGGCCGCTGATTGGGAAATCCAATTGCAAGAAGATCGATATCCTCGCGCCCTCTGCCACCGTCTCCGTCGCCCTCACCACCGCGACTCTTCCTCTGCCCGCACTCTCCATATCAGAGGGAAGGTCAAGTCCGCAAGACCGGCGGATAGCCCTATGCCTCGGGAATGAAGGCGGGACGTTGGAGAGGAAGGTGTTTGAGGGCGGGCAGAGTGAGTGGTGCGTGTTGTAATCGTGTCGAGAGCGTATCGCCGACGTCTGTTGTCCCTTCCCCTGTCGTTGTTTCCGCCTTATCTCTGCTGTGCCCCATGTACGTGCCTGCACCTGTGCTGATGCCGGGCCACAACTCGCAGCGCCCGTTCCACCCGGCGCTGGAGCAGGCGATCGAGGTGCTCGAGGAGGGGACCGTGAAAGACAACTACGAGGTGAGGGGGAGTCCTCGCCCGGGCTGAAACCGAGTATCGCGTAAGCCGCGCTCAAGGCGAACATTCTCGGAAAATACAACAAAAACCTCTTCAGGCTTAGGCTGAGGCTGTTCCCGTACAACAGGTTCGCAATGACGGTGCGTGGCCTCGTGCGCGTAGATTTGGAAGAGTATATACTCACCTTTGCACAGAAGGTCATCAAGTGGCGAGACCATATGCTTTTCGACAGGCAGAATGCGCTTCACGAAGAGCTGCATGGTCTTGCTCAGGTACGCACGCCTCTTTCGCACTCCCATCACACGTCCACCTTCTGTCTCCGACCTTCTTTCTTGCAGTAAAGCGCCAGGAACGTGCGAAGAGGCTTCAACGGTGTCGGTCAATTACAGGAAGGCTCCCAGCTGCGAACGACGCGCAGGCAATGCCCATGAGGCCCCGCACCCCTCTCGATCAAGCTGCTATCGCGGCAGCGGACAATGGCGAGTACGAATACGGCGCGGACGGCGGTGGAAGGGGATGGGATACGCATTGGCCGGCGAAGCGGTACAGACTGACAGACCAGATGAAGACGCTCATCTAGTTGGCGTGTCTGAGCAACGAGTGTTGTCCGATCGAGAACGAGAAGAAGTGAGTGCTTCGTTCTTAGACGGGGAGCATCGCATGACGGCTGCTGATTATCGGCGTGTGTAAAGCACTTGCAGGCTCGATCCAGATTGTTAGCGACGAGGGTGTGCGGAAGAACTTGCATCAGAAGGCACGCATCGTATCTCGTTTATCGTCAGAGCCATACTCATTCAATCTCGCACGCCAGATCGTCGCTGCCTTCCCGGATGGCTGGCTCTCCTCCGGACAGATCTCCCGTGAGGTGAGTGTGATGGAAGACGAAATACGAGGAGGCGATGGAGAACGACTGAACGTTCCGTGCCGTCGTCGCTGGTATCTCTCATCGAACATTGCGGCGTAGCTTGTCAGACCTACGCCACTGTCTCTGCTCGTGCGCGTTTGTTTCCACTGACTTCCTCAGTAGTTGTTCGCGGGGCGCGCCTATGCGTCGCCGCCGCCTTACCCGTATGCTTGGTAACTAGTGATTCACTCTACCACACGTGTATCGTATCGTATCTGCCTTACTGTCTCTGCATCAGTCTATGTGTGACTGCTATACAATTCGACCTCGAGTCCTTGAATTCCCTATTCACAAAAGCTGCACGTCAGCAAATTTGCACGCCTGTCTGTATACGTACGAAGGGTCAGTCTTCGGTCGCAGCTCATCACAGATAAATGTGCATACAACGTGCCTTTCTATAAGGGTTCCATACCACTAGTGGGTCAAGGGTTTTCCTTTCTAACATGGCCCATGCTAGCATAAGCTCATATTTCTCCCCGTATTCTATCAAAGCTCACTTCCCCTCGCGCCACTTTGTAGACCTGGAGCCATACCCGGCCGGAATCGCTATTACTCAATCCTAAGATCCAAGATGAGGTTTACAATGTCCATTTCCGTAGACTGTAAGGAAGGTTCCATGGATTCATCTGGGTGGAACGTCTTCAGAATGAGCTTCAGAATGCCAAAGTCAACAGATGTCTTCACACGAAGTTGCCACAACGCCGGCACTTTCTCCCAGCGAGGCGTGGTGTTCAGTGTGTACCGGCGGTATCTGACCAACAAAAGACTGGCGAAACCTGATTATCAACGGGGAGAACGCTCTTATCAAGCGGACGGGAACACGAGGCTACTAAGTAGAGAGCACGAACTCAAAGACAGTGATGGGAGGCGTCCTAGAATGGAAACAGAAGCATGAGGACCGAAGATACATAATGCAGAAAATATGTACCTAGCCAGGCCGATCATCGCCGCCCTTATGAATAGGACGGCGCGAACGTCTTTCAAATGGGTCAAAGGCCATAAAGGACACCCTATGAACGAGAAAGCGGACAGGTCAGCAGGCGAGGGAACTCCCGGACGACCTGGAGGGAGGTCATCATCCCACCGAACCTACGCTTATCAGGAGCAAAGATATCCTGTATGACTCAGAAGTCAGCGTATCGGGCGATAGGTCAATTAAGGAGAAATCTTTTCCGCGCAGGAAGCGGATTGAAAAGGACCTAGGAACCTTGAAGACAAGATCACAGAAAACTTCGGAATACACCTCACCAACCAGATGATTTGGAAGGGACTACGTTCACGACACATCACCTTTGCAGTACGATACTTCCTGAGATTGGCGATGCACCATGGATATATGATCGGGGACCAGTGCTTGCGTCCCAACATGTGAGCTCAACTACAAGAACGGGCAATGTGTAGATAATGCGGAAGCACAGAGTCAATGGAGCATATCCTGTTCCAATGCTGCGAGGCGGCGTGTCAGCAAAAATATGGTAATTGATGAAGGACGCATGGTCACATACGAAGATCCCTTGGAGGGGACCAGAATGGGGTGCACTAGTAGGAGCAGCTTGCGCGCTCATCATGGATGAGAAAGGCAAACGGCAAACCGAGAAGGAAGTGTTATTGGCCATCCCATGCACGGATTCGGTGCATCTGATCTGGAAGCTCAGATGTGAGCGCGTGATTCCAAAACGATGGCCAAGAATTCACCACACGAGAGATCGCGAACCGCTGATATGAAGCAATCGAGCAACGGGGACGTATTGCAATGCGCTGTTTGAATTTGGAGGGAGCGCTGGAAATATACATACCCAGCAGAGCTTGACTCGGGTGTATGCAGCTTCATCAAGAATGCGGTCGGAGTCAATTTCACGATGTTCTACGAAGCGATGCACAGCTCTCATCTATTGAACAGTTGTGGAGATATTCCATCATGGATGCCATAAGAGACGCATGTAAATACTTCTCCTCAAGATGAGAAGAGACAACCCTCAGAACTGGCGTCGCAATCCTGACTCCCCCTTGGAACCATGGCTTCCTCACAGAATGGACAGCTTGCCGTCCAATACTCTAGCATGTATGTTGCCTGTCCTCATGTCGTAACCCGATACTGCGGGCGCTGAAGTTCAATTTCCTGACCACATAGCATGTTAGGAAACTACTGTGGAGTTGCAGCAGCAGGTACAGTCCCTACTGCGCTGCAACTTTCTATTTGAGTACCCTGAGAACCAACACTGATCCATTCACTTATCTGTTCTGCAGTGGTATTTCTATACGATTCAATGATCACCACTGGGGAAGAAATACGGTGTTTCTGGGGACGAAAGATGACAGGGGCAGCCATCTTGTTCTGGTTGAATAAGTACATGACCGTGCTCTATCTGGTTTGGGAGCTTGCAACGTGTTTCAACATATCAGACAAGGTCTGTACCCTGCCCCGGCCTCGCTAGCATCTAATGAATCTACATTTATATTGGCTGTTCCAGAGGTAATGCATTTCAAATGACTCTCTACAGAGTACTACAATCAATTATGTCCATGCAGCTGTGCTCTGTCGACCTGGGGTACCGATGCCGTCGAATACTTGCTCTTCATAGTCCTGGCAGGTGTGCATCCTATTTCGACTGGTATACATGAGCACATTTCGATATTTTGACTTCCTAGCCTTCACATCAATACGCATCTATGCGCTCAGGAAGAGTCTGGTACTCTGTATTATCACTGCTATCCTATCCTTAGTGCCTCTTGGAATCAACATGGTAAGATTTTATTATGGCATGTTTATTGCCGTCCCGTGAATACTTGTCCATCAACAGGCAGACTTTGGATTTGGATTAACCGGCGAGAACATCTTTCCATTTGGATGCACAAGCCTGGACAACGAGCCCATCAGTCTCTCCAAATTGTGAGTGCCTGCTGTGTTGACGATTGAGATTACCCTCAAGCAGAACCTACGCATCTTAGGTGTAAATCGCATTTCAAATCGACTTCAACACTGATTAATTGAGTTCCTTTAGTTACCATTATCTCTCGGTCGTGCCTGATCGCAGCAGACGGCCTCGCCATTGGCGCAACATGGTTCACATTAGGTCTCCCGTATGCAAGTCGCCGTGGGCACGATCTCAAGGGGTCAATATCTAGCGTTCTGCTGATGGATGGTGTGTACTCATAAGTAATAACGTTGGACGAGGTATGCAATGCTAACAACATCGTACACGCAGGTACCAACTATTTCCTGTGAGTGAGGTGCCTTTGCATCATATAGCATCTCACTCCTTCCTCGTTCAGCATCCTCGCAGTGCTGAACTCTCTACATCTCGCTCTCACATTGCTTTCAGTAAATTCACACTCTATAACTGAACCAGCACAAGGTTTGACCTTGGGTGTCATAGATCGATAGAGATGGACTACAGCCTGTGAGCGTAGTGACAGCCTTCACAACACCGTATGTGCACCATTGCATCTGTTGCTCGATCCCATGTCTCCTGACTCTTCGCATGCGCATTCAACCACACAGGCTATCTGCCATCCTCGTGTCACGCTTCCTCCTCCATCTACAGTCAGCGAGCCTCCGGGCCGTTGGCTCCATCCCATCCTCACAGTTCTCGTCGCTGCATCTTGATCGTTCTCTGGTGTTCGAACGGGTCATTGGATCACTCGGAGCATCAATCACCGCCGAAGATTACCTCAAGGAGGACTATAGTGACGGTGACAATGTGGAGAGAGCTGACGAGTCGACTCAGGCATCGAGGGAGTAGTCTGGCTTCTTAACTGGTGGGGTTGAGAAGAGCGACAAAGACTGTGTTGTCCGCGTAGAGGCGAGATGCGTCGTGTGCTGCTGCCTGCTCGTTGACCCAGATATTGTATTGATTCGCGCTTGATTGTTAAATCGATCCAGGACTATTTATTCATATTGTGGTACCATGTCGAAACCGTCGTTTGACTTCGTAACTACAACCGGCAGCCTCTATTCAGTTCCCTGGCTTAATCCTCGTCGCTTTAGGTTCTAGGCGAGGCAGACATGCATGCATTTCTATCAAGGATTGCCCCCGAACAATAAATCTGCCTTCAGGGAGCTCGTCGAGCAAAGTCGCAACAAACGACGCTCTTATACGTATAACAGGTACACTAACTGGCGTACGCTATCGCAAGCACGAAGGAGAGACTTTTCGGGCGATAGCGGACGGTAACTGCGGGGCCCGCTCCAGAGCGATGTTGTCCGTGAATATTAGCTAGCCCGAGGGGAGCGCATCTGTGTCGGGGATACCATGCAAGAACAGGTATTTGAACCTCGTTGGGGGACAGGGAGGGTTCAGCATCAGTCCTTCTGCAGAGACGGGATGAAGGGCAGTTTTGTCCCCAGCAGGACAACCAAGTGAGAAGATCGGTGCCCCCGGACGCAGAGACAGCGCGTCTAGAGGGTCCAACCTCGTGCGATGCAACCGTCGATCATGCTGTTGATGACAGTCCGGGAGAGGAGAGATACGCCCGGGGTTTTCTCGCCCTATGAAAGGGAGATAGCCTTCGGACCGATGTATCAATGGCTACTCTGTGTCCCGCCGAACCTCGGAACTTACGCTGGAGACGTTTGGAGAACCCGGCGCAGTCCCCGACCTGGTGCCAGTGGGTTTCCACGACGGCAGCTGACTCAGTGACACCAGACGAGCTTGCATTGGCGCGGTGAGCAGGCGCCTGTATCAGAATGTGCTTCGACTTGAATGTAGGGAAGGCAGCCAAGACGTAGTGTGATGGAGCTGAAGCAGTAGTGGGAAGAGTAGGGAGGTCTCGGACGAGATGCAAGTCATGCGCTACGTCATATTCTGGCAAGGGGACCAATTGAGTAGGTGAGAACGTACTGGGAGAGCGTGACATGAACATCCGAGCCCCTCTCCACCTATGGAAATGGCGGCCTCACAGCTCGATCTTGATCAAGCACACGATATTCGCCACCACGTCTCTCCAATCATCCAGAGCGTAACGGAAGGAGGTTGACGAGTGGGTTGATGCACCAGATGCTGCCAAGGACGTCGCTATGACGATTGCTGGGGGACGAGTGGCCAGATATACCCTGTTCAATGAATACTCGGTGGCGGACGTCGCACGGTCCGCGGGAAGAGCTAGATTCCGTGTGCAGGAGCATGAGCATCATTAGATAACTACATACGTCACACCTAGGTTGGCTCTAAGGAACTTGCCTTTAGCGGCGGGGTGAAAGGCTCAAGAGCTACTTCGGATGGTATGCCACGCCTTTCGACTTGAACCCGCATGAAAGGGTGACCGGTGAGCGCATAGCGCAAACGCGAGTGGTGTTTCATCCGTGAGCGCGAGCGAGACAAGGAGCCCGTAAGAGAGATCGGGAAGAGGAGTGTGTCGTCGCTTATCGTGCATTGCTACTCACCTGGAGATGGGACCACCATAATAGGCAGACAAAGTGTATGCCATCCGACGACCTTGTTCGTGCGATGTCGATTTGCGGGACAAGGATCCCGATGCCGGCCGCTAGGCCGCAGGTAGGATGGTGCTACATTCTCGTAGTGCTGATGTATGGTCCTAGAGCAGGAGAGACAAGCACGGGGAAAGGGAGAGCAGATAGCAGTGAGTGTCGTCTACTGAGCTGCACGCCAGATGCGCGCGCTGGGAACAGCCGCGGATCTATGGCCTGGGAATCCGGCCCATGCCGGTCGCCATGCCGGGCCGCCGCCACCACGTCGCTCCCCGATGGTCGGTGACGACTCCTCCAGCTCTCTCTCCAGCAACCTCCATCTTCCCCTCGCCTCCAACGTCCCAGCATCGTCCAGCAAGTCTCTCTCCCCGTAGAGGGTGACCACGACCGAAAGCCGTCAACTTCCGCTGTTGCCACCTGCTGAGACCGACGGCAGGCAGAAGGAGAAGCTACGAAAGAGGTGAGTACACCGTCTTCTTATGTGCTGAGTACGTGCACTTGCTGTTTCGGACATCCGTTGCTGAGACGTGCATGCTGCGGAGCTGCGGCTCTGGCAGCTTGTGGTGCGCATCCCGTGCCCCGCACTGGAACAGACGATGTGCACTCCGTACATGGCCTCCTTTCTGCGCGCATGCAGCGCGTGACCGCCGGAGACGCTTCTCTCGCGTCAACTACTCCTCCGTAAAGGTGCAATGCTGACGCGTATCTCTTGCTAGCGGTGCCATGTTTCCGACCACTACGACAACACCGACCTGTTTATCGACGACTCCCAGCCCACGCAAAACGAGCGAACGATTCTCTTTCAGACGAAGCAGAAGGGCGTCTACGTATCGAGCGGGCAGGCAGAATTGATCGACAAGTACGTCTTCTCACTTGACCCCATGCTCCCCTTTTCCTCGAGAGCGTTAGATCTACGTGCGGTTTTCGCATTCGCAGCATCGAGCGCATATATGCGTGCCTCGCCTCCGTTGTTCACGATCTCGCCCTCGCTACAATCTTTCGTGCAAGGCGAAGCCGTTTCTGAGGCCGATATACGCTTGTTCCTCAAACGAAGGCGTGAGTCGACTCGAACGTTCTGAGTGCCCGTTGTGCTCCGCTGACGGTCTTCTGGGTCGTGCCTTACACACGTCCAACAAAGCTGCCTCTGTCGTCTCCAAGCTCTCAGGCTCACTCACTCAAGTCGCTGCAGACCATCCAAAAGCCCAAGTACAACATCTTTGTCGCCAGTCCACGAGCACACTTCCCATCCCTGCGCTCCAGTAGACGGGTCCGGGTCGCGAGGCCAACTCATAGCTCTATCGCACGGGGAAGACGGCGGGAAGCGGACGCTGTCCGGAGGTGGGCAGACGTTTGTCAGGGTGAGTGTTTGGTGCAGAGATCGTGGCGAGAGGGTTTCGCCGACGTCTGTTGTTCCTGCTCTTGTAATTGTTCCCTCCCCTGTCGCTGTTCGCGCTGTGTCCACAACTACGTCTATCATTGTGTCATCCGGCAGCGATGGGCTACCAGACCTGAGACGATCATCTGGCAGTAGGTGTGTCTCAGTAACGAGTGTTGTCGGACTGAGAACCAGAAATGAGTGTTCGTGTTCTGTTTAGGGATGCGAAGCATTGTGCGATGGGTGCTGATCATGCGTCTGTATAGCGGCCTTGAGGGCTTGAGCCAAACGTTAGTGACCGGGGCGTGCGGAAGAACTCTATCAGAAGGCAGCCATTGTATCCGGTTTGTCGTGAGAGCCATACTGACTCGACCTCCCAGGATTGTTGCCGCGATATCGGATCGTTGGGACTCTTGGGGACAGATTTTGCGTGAAGTGAGTGTGTGAAGGAGAAATACGAGGAGGCGATGAAGAACGACTGAACGTTCCGTGCCGTCGTCACTTGTATCTTCCGTCGGACATTGCGGCATCGCCTCTGTGCACCGCTACGTTACTCGTGCGCGTTCGTTTCCGAGTTTTTCTGTTGTAGTACTTCTTTTGCTCAATGATATTCGCGGGCGCACACGCCTCTGCATCTCTGCCGCCGCCTTACCTGTACGCTTGGTTACTGGTGCTGTGCCCTATCTTTCATGTATGATCATGTACATTGTGCCTTCTTCGCTCTGCTTCGGTTTGAGCGCAGACTGCGATGTCGTTCTAGCTCAAGTCCTCGGATCTCTTATACACAAGAGTCTCGTCTCAGCAACTCCTCAACGCCCGTATGTATGCGTACTTGCCGTAGGTTCTCAGTGACAGCTCATCAGAGATAATCATGCATCTAACTATCCTTCCCTCTACTACCGCTGGTGAGCCCAGGATCTTCCTTGCTAACATTGGCCCATGCTGGAATTAGGAGAAATTCTGTGTAGTCTATGTTGATCCTAGCTGACTGCTCGCCGCAACACCCCGCAGATATCGGTCCCAACGGCGGGACGGCCTGGAGGATCACTCATCACCGCTGAGACCGAAGATGTGTCTTCCAATGTCCATCTCCGCGTACAATGACCGCAGTGCAAGGGGTCAGACCAATGCTGTCGGGTGCTGAAGTGCCCAGAGCGGCTTCCATGCCATCATCCGGGAGGAACGTCATGGGGGTTGAGGTGAGCTTCAGGATGGAATAGTCAACAGATGTGTCATGTCTGTATACGACGTCGCTTGGACAGGAGCGGTTTGCACAGCGGAGATGTGGCATTCACCAAGTCTCCGCGATATCTGACCATCGAGAGATACAAGGATCCGATCACGGAGTGCCATCTGAGTTGTGGTGGAGGGCATATCCTACAAGCGACCAGAAATGCATATAACTGCTTCTCCTCAACATGAGAAGAGACTATGGCTTCTTCACAGACAGGACAGTTGGCTGCCGACTATTCTGGCATGTAGGTGACCCATCCTCATGTTTCAACCCGACAATGTGGGCGCTGAATTTCCTGACCGCATAGCATGATAGCAACCTATTGTAGTGTCGCGGCAGCAGGTAGGAGCCTTACTGAGCTGCAGCATACTACTTGAGTGCCCCTGAGGATCACCGCTGAATCATTCACCGATATATCCCGCAGCGGTATTCTTATACGACACAATAATCACGACTGGTGAAGAAATACGGTGTTTCTGGGGACGGAAGATTACAGGGGCGGTGATCTTGTTCTGGCTCAACAAGTACATGACTATGCTTGTTTTGGTCTGGGGACTCGCAACTGGTTTGAACATTTCCAACGAGGTATGTGCTTCGCTCTTGCTAGTATAGAATAAATCCTCATATGTCTTGACTTCGCCAGAGGTAAAGCAATTGATTAACTCTCCGCACAACACTACAATCAATGGTGTTTATGCAGCTGTGCTCGATCTGTAAAGGGTAGTGCTACCGTTCAAATCCTGCTTTTCATAGTTCAGGGAGGTGCGCATCCTATATCCAATGATATCCACCAGCACATATTGAACCTTTGACTACCTAGCTTTCACAGCCATTCGTGTCTATGCACTCAGGAGGAGCTTCACTCTGTGTGCTGTCACCGCTTTTCTATCCTTCGTGCCTTTCGGAATCAACTTTGTGAGATTTCATCACGGCAAGTTCCTACCCATTCTTGAACGCTGACCCATGGATAGGCTACAATCCGATTCGGCTTTACCGGCGAGAAAATCCCAATCTTGGGATGCATACAGATTGACAATGTACCCATTGATCTCTACCGAAAGTGACTTTCTCAGAGAGCGTCCATTGAGACCATCCGCTAAAGCCCAACCTACATATTCTAGGTGTAAAGTGAATTTCAAGTTAGCATCAAAGCTCCGTCATCTTACAGACTTCTTTAGCCGTCATTATTTGTCGGTCATGCCTGATTGCAGTAGATTTCCTCGCCATAGGTGTCACATGGTTCACATTAGGTCTCCGATTCCCAACTTCCCGTGGGGGCATTCTTAAGGGCTCGATAACTAGCGTCTTTCTGATGGATGGTGTGTACTGAGTGGTTATTGTGTCGGCTAAGGCGTAGAATGCTAAAATTATCTACGCAGGGACCATCTATTTCCTGTGAGTGGTGCAGTTCTGGAGCAGATCATATTTTACCCCCTCATCACTCAGCATCCTTACTGTGCTGGATTCCCTACATCTCACTCTCACACTGCTTTCGGTAAATTCACATTCTGTCACTTAATCAGCACAACGTTTGACTGGGGGTGCCACAGATAGCTGTAGACGTACCACAACATGTAAGCGTAATATCGCTCTTCACAACCCCGTATGTGTGCCTATTCAACTTTCACTCGATCCCATGTCCTCTGACCCTTCGCACATACATCCAACAACGCAGGCTACCTGCCATCCTTGTGTCACGCTTCCTCCTCCACCTGCAGTCTGCGAGCCTCCGGGGTGTGGGATCGATACCCTCTTCACAGATTTCATCGTTGCACCTTGACAGGTCCCTGGTACTCGAGCGATTCGTTGGGTCCCTCGGAGTGTCAATCGCCGCCGAAGATTACTTCATGGAGGACTCTGGTGATGGGGACAATGGAGAGAGAGCTGACGAATCTACTCCGTCTCAGACATTGAGGGAGTAGCAAACCAGTGAATTTTCGTGATAATAGAGGACATTGACTCTTGCCTCTGTATTCGGATATAACAGGGTAGACTGCTCGCCAAATAGTTTCTAGTCAGGAAGTTGTATTTATTCGTGAGGTCCTTGGTCTATCAATGACTGCATACGTTGGATGCTGCGGAGCAGGACCTCGACGCCGACTATTATTACTTACTCCTGGTGGCGACACTGACTAGTAGTGCAAAATAAGCTGTCCCCCATGCTGATTCTCGAGTGTATTCCATTCACCAGCAGGATTTATGCCAAGCGCAGATGTACATGTTGAAGCAGGCAAGGAGTCAGACAAGCGAGGCTCACTATAGTATAGCTAGTGATCGGAGATATATGAGTGGTGAGACGAGAGACGACTCCCTCCGTGATAAGTATAAGTGCTGGTAAAGCCGTATATACCCAGAACAAGTGGGTATTTTTCAGTAGACGGTTCCAACATGACAGCAAGGCCAAGACATGAATGCCGAGGATGTTCGTGTACAGGCGCCAACCCTGCACCCCCTATAAGCCACCCGATCACGTCTATTTTGTGAAAGGCTCCATAGAACTTATCAAACAGCAGCGGGAGGTCGGCTTTCTCGGGGGCCATCACATCCTACTTACGCGGGGACTCTGTACCATAGCAGGATATAGACGGCAGAAAAACAGTGTGGTAAACGTCGAGAGCCCTTGGACGGGGTCAGGGGCAGTCCTAGGCTATCTACGACCGACAAACAGGAAAAACGGCGACGACGAACCGAACAGCTCTGCCCTCACGACACGACCGTTGATCGTGCTCGTGACGGCATCTCGGCACACGGCGAGATACATCCGCTGTCTGTCTTGCCTTCCGAAAGCGACCTCTGGGTGACCCGCGATGGCTGAGGATTTGATATGATGGGGACCACAGACGTGGATGACATGAGTGCAAAGTTCTCAGGCGAGATGCGGGCCATGCGGTGTGCCAAGATGGGAGAGCGAAGGTTCCTCAAGCGAGCAGGTGTGTCCTGTGAGCCGTCCTGGTAGCACGGAGAGATAGCGTAGGACGTGGAGGGTGCCAACGTCGGGAGGCAGAGCTCACCAGCACGCGAGCCTACTGTCGGCATACAGCGTCAGAACGCCTTCTCCATGGGCTTGTAAATCGAATGCGCATCTGAAAACGTACCTGCAGAGTGCAACATGAACGTCCTCCCCTCTCCGCCCATGAACATGGCGGCCTCGAAGCTCGACCTGCGTGAAGTGGGGTATCCGCCACCACGTCTAGCCGAGCATCTAGTAGAGCGCGACGGCGTCGGTGGCAGACTCGGATGCACACATCAACGCACCAGAGTCGTAAGATATGGCTAAAACTGTTAATCGTGACGGCGTGAATGTGCGGGAAGGAGAAGCGCTGTGACCGACATTGCGGTCCGTGGGGAAGTTGGATTCGTCTTGGCGAACATGAGCATCATTGGACACGTACGTCGTACCTGAGTTGAACAGCGCTTGAGACGTGCAACCCGTAACGGGTATAGAAGTGGAAAAGCTGCCTCGGGCTGTGGACGCATGCTGCGCATAGCAACTTGAGCCTGCAAGCGAATGAGACCGGTGAGTACTTAGTCCAGTCGTGTTCCATCGATGAGCGCGAGCGACACAACACAAAAAGCTAAGATGGAGGATCGGGAGGGCTCAGGGGTTTTAGCATTGCCTGTTGCGCATGGCTACTCATTTGTAGATGACAGGACGACCATAGGCGCACTGATTGCATACCATCGATGACCTTGTTCGGGCGATGTCAATGTGCGGGACCGGGAACTTGGGTCCATTGCAGGGCGCCGCAGCGAGGCCTGAAGCATGGCGGTAACTTGAAACTCTCATATTGATGGCAGACACAATGGCGTGGCACCAGAGCAGGAGAGACATGCACGGATCAAGGGAGAGCAGAGTCGGACCAGTGAGCCTCGTTCAGGGCTCGTCTGCCAAGCTGGCGCCAGGCAAGTATGGACCCAGTGATCCGGCCCGTATCCCCGTGCCGAGCGATGGGCAAGCGCAAATCGAGACGCCAAGTTCTACTTAGATCTTCAAGCTGCGGTTTGGGCAGTCCTCCAAGCATGGCAGCAAAAACGGCATGCGGATATTCCAGTGGGTCCCTTAATGCCGTCTTCTATACATGCTCAAAGGCTGACGTACGGGCTCTGCTGAGTCTGTGGTTGCCAGTATCCGCTAGTCACCACCTGAGCCGCCACCAATCAACTCCATTCTTGCTGGCATGCAGGTGCCTGGAATTGCTCATGACGGGATAATCGGGGAAATCACGAAATCTTGTCCCACCTCTGACGGAAGAATGACTGCCTTCTCTCCAGGAGTGCGGCGTACATTGCGGCGCAGATGGTGTACCCATATCCTGGCTCGAGCACCGACCAGAACGCGCCCTCGAGCGCGGCGTTCAGCCCATCCAAGTGCGGCGGGATGAGCATGGGGATATCGGGGTGCGTCACGGTCTTGTGGAGGTAGCGCACGATCGCGGCGGAATCGGACACGCTCGCGCCTGTGCTTGGGTCGTGGATGACGGGCAGGGTGTACAGCGGGGTGCCATCACGGCGTTTCTCTGCGGAGTCGCGCCGACCTTTTTGCAGAGCGGGTACTCGACCCAGACGGTCTTGTACCGGAGGCCCTTGATGTTCAGCGAGAATCTGCCGTCCAGCGCCATGTTTGAACGATCGCGTCACAAGGTGTGTTGGCATGGTACTGTAATGTACTCACCGATTATTCCATGTATTTGGAGGCCATGTCATGTATTTGGAGACCATGCCATGTATTTGGAGACCATGTCATGTATTTGGAGACCATGTCATGTATTTGGAGACCATGCCATGTATCTGGCATTGCTAGGTATGTCGGAGAACACGATCGGCTCGCTCATATCTGGCAGTTAATGACACAGCGAGGGAAGGATCGCTATGTCTATCAGTCACCTCACTGTAGATTATTGCATCCTCCTTGAAATCGACGGGTACTGCCGAAGAATCGTACATCGTCTATGTAGAAACTATAGCGTGCAGCGCATGTGGCGCCAGCTGATGATAGGGGACCTGATCCTACATTCTACACCGACTGCATCTCCGACAGCCTGGCTGGTATTAATCGCAACCAACTATTCTCCCATCGGTGCAATGGCCGCCACACACCTCAATCCAAGCCAAGGGAACGTCAGAATGAACGAGTCGTCTGATCGCCCAGGACGTGCGGGCTGAGGTCCGAAATGCTCACTTGTGGGCCGTTCGACACGAGCTATGCGGAACGAATACTTCCACTGATCACCATCACTTACGCCGGTCAGCGTACACACGTGAGGCATCCTCCTATGTTTTGACCACTCACCGTTCCCCGAGTACCAATCAGCCCGGGGGCTGTGCACGGATTTTAGCAAGCCAGCGTCTCGGATTCGACGAAGCAACCCCTTGTGCAGTGTGACCTCTGGCTGCACCCCCAACCCCCAGTTGTCCGTCACGATCTCCAGCGTGATGCTCTCGAGACGAGCAAAGATCCCGGCCGGAGCGGAGAGCAGCTCATCCAGGCTGTCGAAGTCCAGCGACCGCGCGGGAGAGAGCGGGTCGTCCAATGCCAGATACTTGACAGGTATCCTCGTCCACAGACGAATGCAGATCGCACGGAGAGGTGGGGGCGAGCGCTGCGCGCTAATTGGTGCAAGGACGGGTGCGAAGAAGGTCGTTCTGGAGGCGCGGACGCTGCCGTTGTCCTTGACGCCGATAGAGAGGTACTCGAGCACGCAACATCTCGCCAGCGCGGACCCGAAGCCTGCGAACGTTTGACCTGTCGTGCGAGCGGAAGGTAGAAAGTAAATATATGAATCAGGGCTGTGCGCGCGGACGTGGCTGTGCCGCTCACTCCCCTATCCTGGAAGGGTCGACGACATCACTGATGTTCTGGAGGTTCGGAGCAACTGCGGAGGATAGAAAGGTGCACAGCTCCCGAAGGTCGTCCGTGGTGCCGCAGCCTACGGCGGGTGCCGTCAAGGTCCCCGGATTGAGCACGCGCTCTAAAAGACCGTACCATACGGACGAGCGCACGTTGTCGTTGATGATTAGCTGAGCGAGCTCGAACGTCTGCCTATGAAGGCCGACCAGCAAGATAGGCTTGGGGTCTTGCAAGTCGATGAGCTCCATGCAGTGCACGTCGAACGCGGTGAGCAGGAACGGGAAGATGGACGAGATGCCACTGCACCGATGGAGCACGAGCTTCTTCAGTTGGACCGGAGGCTGTCTCGCGTTCGCAAGTGGCCAAGGCTCTCTGTGGTGGGAACCGGTGATACAGAGTGTTTGTAGGTTGGTTAGGGAGGGCAGTATTGATGTGAGGGCGATGAAGTCGCTGAGAGAGCGCTGGGTAGTGACGGAGAACCTATGGCAGCGCAGCTCCTGGATGCAGCTCGCAAGCTGAGGGTGGGTAGCGCAAAAATGAGCGAATCGTTCGCTTTCTCCCCTGACCATGACGGCAGAGAAGAAACGGCGGCAAGAGAGATGGCGCCACAGCTTGCAGACCAGGGTACATGCTGACAGCGACCAGCCGGCATCATTCAGAATCCCAAAGATTATGTCCAATAGCTCTGTGGGCAACATGTCGTTGATGAGACACCGGTGGGCGACAGGGGGGTCGGCAGTTCGTGAGTCCAGGAGCTCGACTTTGTCGCTTGTCTGCATGGCCTGCGCCTCGGGGTTGACCGAAGACATCGTACGGCTCTTCCGCCCCGCCAGACTATATGATCGTAGTAATGTCACCCTGCGTTGCACAGATTAGATTCGATGCTCCCCTGGGGATTCGAGAGAACCCTCACCGCATTCTGATCAGCTTAGACGTTGGGCGTAAGTCGCAGGAGTTGAACACGGAGGATAAGCTGCGATCTCTCCAAGAAGTCACACGGTAACGGGCGTGCTCGGGCAGTACCCCGCCCCTAGCGCCAAAGCATGCTTGATGGAGTCGTGAAATGTGGCTATGAATGTTGATCAGGACGGCGTGGATGTGCGGCATTATGGACGCATGCTGCGGTAAGTGCAAACCCGAACGCTAGTCGTGTTCCATCAATGAGCGCGAGCGACACAAGCAGCCAGTATGGAAGATCGAGAAGGAGCTGTATCCTCGTATGTCACGCATGACCACTCACTAGAGATGATAGGACGACCATAGGCGAACCTGTTGCATGCCATCCGACGACCTTGTTCGGGCGATGTCGATATACGGGGCCGGGAGCTCATCACAGTATGCTGCAGTATGGCTGAAAAAGGACGCTGCTATGAAGCTGTCGTATTACTGTTATGCGCATTGACTCAGTCCCAGAGCAGAGAGAGAAGAGACCAGTGAATCTCGTCCAGCTCGTCTCGCTGCTCCCTTCATGCTGGCGCCGAGCAGAGCAGCTCCGGTCCGTGAACCCGGCCCGTGCGCTAATGGGCAAGCGCGAGTTCAGACGTGTGCATTCTCCTTGCGACTAACTCCTCATGCTCAGTAGCCCGCTCCCTGGCGACCCTACATACCTCCCGCCGCGCATGTACCTATTATCACTCAAGCAAGACGCGGCAGCATCTCTTCATGCAGGTTATGCAACCAAGAAGCTGCTTCTTCTGATCCTGTCAGTGACCTCCTTCCGCGCACTTAGTCCTTTGACATCTCCGGACCATTCGGTATGAGATCAAGCGTAATAGGCCCATCACTAGCGAGCGACATCTCAGAGCTTGCGACTGCTTCTGAATATTGCCCGGTTCCGGTGCGGGTCTCAACTCAGCACAGTGCGAGCGATTGAAGGCCAGTCTGCACTCGGTGGAGCTTGGACAAAGGGCAAGGGCGGAAGACAAGTCATGGTGAGCGCATACATTCGACGTCCTGGGCTTGCGCACTGTCCTGCCGCAAAAGTCTGTCGTGAAGCTGCGCATGTGGCGAGTAGGCAGAGCGCCCACTGATGTTCGCCTTGCGCAAACCGTCCGGGGGGACCATTTACGCTTCCGATATGCGTTGTCTACGACACCTGCTCCACGCGGCAATCTTCTCGAGCTCTATCTCTCAACGTTGAAACAGTCGGCTCCGTTGCTGAAGCGTATATCTGGGTAGCGGAAGACTTGCGTCATGGTCCTACGATACGGTCGACCCGATGGCTTCCATGTATAGCACGGAAACGTGCCCCTAGGCCTCCTGAACAAGTGCGTCCTTCACTCTACACTGTCTGGGCCTTGCCTTGCGCAAGCGCCTCTGTCTACATGCATTTCCTTCTGCGCATATATGCATGGTCAAGGAGATTTGATAGGGTATCAGGGCGAGAGGATGTGCCGATTTCAATGATCTTGCTTCCGGCTCCCCGCGGCGTCCAAGCATAGTCTGTCCCAACCCAAGTCTTCATCGTCCGAGTTGATTGCATCATTCTTGTCCCCAAGGTGGTTCACGCTGTACATGTATTTCCCTTTATTCTTTGGGTTCCTGAATGAAAGACGGCATGTTACCCCTTGAACTTCTGTAATTACGTGTTGTGCGGGCTTGGACAGTGTGCAGACAAGCTTCTGGCTTCGCACCGTCCTGTCGCCTACAGCTACCACTGATACATCCACAATACTCAATAGGTATACGCAATGATACATTCACCTACCTGCAGACACTCGATAGAGATGCCCAAATTGAACAAGATCAGTGTCTCACCTTTGCCTCAGTGCCTGCCGTTTTCTCCGCCGCACTATCGACAGCCAGCCAGAGTCTTATCGCGCTCTTTTTCGCTGCCGGACCCTACTGCCTCCGACCGTTCTCCGACGTTCTACTCCGGCCTCAGCCGACGAAGATGGCAAGGTGGAGACAGAAGCAGGGATGCAAGACCAGTCGGTCTTCCTATCCGATGGCGAGGACGGCGGAAAGTCACAGAGGCAGCTTTTAGACGGTAGGTCAGATGACTGCGGAGCGCAAGAATGCAGTGGTTCAGTGCTGTGAACATGCGCAGAGCGTGTCGCTGACTTCGGTTCCTGACTCGAAGCACCCATTCTATTCGAAGCTTGTGCAGGCGATCGAGGTGCTGAAGTAGGCGGTCGCAAAGTGCGCAGGTCGCAGTCAAGGCGACCATTCTTGAGATGTATGGAGAATCCTTCAGTCTCGTGCTGACGTTGTTCCTGTTTCACATCGTCATCACGCCGGTACATCCTTCCTTGTAGCCCGTCGATCAGCAGAGATGCGCATATGCTGACGTCTCCGCAGAAACGTATCAAGCTGATGATGTGACGGAACCTGATCATCAACGGGGAGAATGCGCTTGTCGCGGAGCTTCGTGTTCTGGCCGAGGAAAATTGTCCGAAGGGGTGGGAGAAGAGTGCCATACGACAAGGTATGTCAGGCACACCAACTGCCTGATGATGTTTTCATCTGATCCCTCAGCGAGCACGGATTTACGTATGGATTAGTATTCCTCCTCCTCACGTCATCACCTGGGCTGTGTTCGTGTTTGGCGCAGTCCGCCGCCGTGGCACAGGCTTGGAGGAGAGGCAAGGAGTATTATGAACTGCGGGTCGTTCGAGAGTGCGCGAACTACCGGGTGCTAGGAGCTTTGCTAACTTGCGCCCCCTCAAATTAAGCCTCACACACGGGACTCACGTGAGTGCTAGCGTGCGATAATCTGACATACCTTCCTCCCACATAGCCTTGACTATTGGACTCTCTGTCGCTGCTCAACACCTCTGCATCAGGTACAGACCCTCCCTCGTCGTCCCCTGGCGCCTACGCGCCCTCGGCCCTCGGCCCTCGCGCATGCTCGCCCCTGGTGGACACCAAGACACGCGCTCAAACTCCCCTGCTAGTACGCCGTTTAGGTGCACTGAGCATCCACTGCTTGAGCTCCTTGTATCATCTAGGTACTGTATTGTGTTCAGGAGATCTGTGTATATGTTGAGAGCAGTGACAACCTGTCTCCGAACGGCGCTTGCTGGACTCAGCTGCCTCGTAGCGCGCATTGTCTTACATCTAGCTTCCAGCCTCTTTCTGAAAGCCAAATGCCTTAGTATATTTTTCGCACACTGTACTATTGATAAAGTATTAGAATACAGAGTCTTTCTGGGATAATGCCACTGCTTTGACCTAGACAAACCTGACGATGATGTGCTCCCTCTGTAAGCGCCTGCTGCCTGGCTTATCCAGGCATGCTATGCGTTGACAGCTTGGCACAATCACCTGAGTGCGCAATCGTGGCATTCTGATGCAACGAATGCCTTACTATAGAGAATCAGCATCGTGATGGTGTTTCGATGATATGTCAGGTAACTTGAACACCGGGCCTAACTTGCACTAGCTTGTGTCGACTTGTGATGCCTTGAGTGGACTTACCTGAGCTTGCACTAGCTTACTCTCACTGGGACTCACGGTCTGTAGCTTTTGAAAACTTGAGGAAGCTTTGAGCTCAAAGGACGACTTCGTGCAATGTAAACTGAGCACAGCAACCGCATCTCTGGCATTCCGAGACCCTTTGAACTCTACCTTGTCTCTGGGTACCGACTGCATCCCAGAGTGCATGCCATACTATCAGTTTTGTCCTCCTCCTTCAACTTTGCACTGGGTACCTCAGCATTGCTCATCTTCCAACTGTGTTTCACATCTCATCTCCGAGTCATCCACAGGCTGATAGTAGCGCCTGGTTTGTCTGAATTATCCACATCACCCATCGGCTCCCAGTCATCCCATACTTCATTGAATTATTCCTTATGTGATATATCGTTGATATGAACCACTTCACATACCATAGGAAAACCCCGTTCTGTTCCCCATCCTCCCTTATCTGTTCGCGTTTTACCGGCGCCTAACCTCTCGTCCAACCATATGCCCACTGGTTCTAATTGTCGAGCATCTCTAGCTTGTCCGTTTGGCTCAAAACTTTGCGTACCGGCTCTGTAGTACCCATACGTGTGTCTAAAAGTGTTACAGCACTGCATTATAGTATAGGGAATATCTGAAAAGCCTAGCGTATCTTAGAATCTCCTCCTCTTCTGCACCCGTAAGCTTCGCCTCCGTGCAACCTCATTGTCTTCGGTAGGTGGGTCTCTTGAAGTCAGGGACTCCTGTGAGTCTCCGGAGCGTCCACGTAAACGTTTCTGAGTGCCCTTCGGCTCCGCTCCGTCGCTATCTTCAAGAGCAGAGTGGTGGGGGTTTGACAATGTGGGACTATGGACCCCAGGAAAGCGGGTTAGACCTGGGCTGCTTGGTTCAGGCCAGATGAACGAGCTTCTATCAAGCGAGTGTACATAGGCGATGGGATCAGGGATGTCGCACTCGAAGGCTGGATCATGGTCTATGGGATCTGAGGAATCAACAATGAGAGTATGCCAAAGGTGAGGATCGCGAAATTCCGCATCATCTAGCTGCTGAGTAGCAGCAAGAGCAGCCTCGGAGGTTGAGAGATGACGGGTGATTGAGTATCCATTGAAGGAGCCGGCGGACGAATGGCTGCCTCTAAGGAGTGCATATATCGTAGCATCGTCTGCAGGTGGCCTGTCGAGGTAGCAGCGTAGAATGACAAGGTTTAGAAGGAGCTTTCCCAGGTGTGTGGCCAAAAAAACGGCTTCGTGATGTGTCACTGACGAGCCCTGTGAAAGCTCTTTGGTAAGGCGGGAGACAAGGGGTTCGACGAGAGATCGATCTCCGAGTAGGAGTGGCATAAGATATTTAAGACAGAATCTTGCTGCGACGCGCTCCCGAGCCTTTTGTGGGACATCTACAAGCTCGGTGAAAAACTCCTCAGCCAGCGGAAATGCCCGGACCATCAGGACAGTCTCTAGCACCGCTGGGAAAGCGTCCTCTAGGGCATCCTCGAGAAACTTGTTCGTGTATTGATGTGCAGCTGCAGCGTCGTCTATGAGCCGTGTAGGCCATCTAAGGTTTCCGATCTGTGAGGGTGATACCATGTCAGCTCTGATCGTATGTGGCGACCTCATTTCTTCCCCTGACCTGATTCCTTGGGATTTCGTACATCTTGTACTCATTCCTCTGTTCAGAGAGTGCTCGAGCGCATCTATGGGCAGGAATCGACGTCCTGATGGGTTGTTTCTGCTCTGAGCGAGTGTACTTGTTGCCTGTGTACCATTCAATACGGACGTACAGCCCACGTCGTTCAGGCTGAGCTTCTTCGATCTCGATTATCCTGCAGGGATAGTATAGCATGGTGTCCATTGTAGAAGTGTTGGTAGTTTGCAGGAGGAGCCATTGCGAGAGCCTTTGTGCATGCATAAGATTCAACGTGAAACGAAAATGGTACTGCAACACGTACATCGAGTTATCCCACATAGGAGCGTTTGAACAGTAGGGACAGAGCCATAGAACCTTGGGATCATTGATATTGTCAGGCAAGCCAAATTGCTCCTCTATACAGTCCTTGTGAGACCACTTCTCGCATCGGCTGCATCCAACAACCATGCGTCCATCCCGAGGATCATCTGTAATGGGGGGGATGGATGTTATGCACACTGCACAGTTATAGTCACCAATGCTGGACATGGAAGTGTCTGAAGGCTCCCGAGAGTGTAAGAGACGCATGCCGTTGGTGTCTGGGTCATTGACTGCCTCTTCAATAAACTCTTGAACGGTATCTTCAGCAAATGAGTGCAGATGATGTGAGCAAGGCACTTAGACCATTCTCGAAGAGGTGCTCACCATGCGATGGTCTCCGACTGGCGTGCGGCTCCTGCAGAAGCTTGTGCACACTGGGAAGATCATCACTATCTGAGACTTCGCCACCATCTAGCGGTCCGATGGGGTTACGATTATAAGCATCGATCGAAGCTTGGATGGACGACATTGTACTAAAAGTGGTCTGGGATTGGTTAGGTACGTTTACACTCAACTGACAGAATAGGAAAACCACACCTGTTCGCCAGAGTTACGGTGATAGAACACAATCCCAGTACATCGTGTAGGTGTAGTTACCATCGTCGCTGACCCGACGTGGTGCAACAACCCATCACCCTGCATAGAGTCGTAGTCATATGTCATGTCACCCAGGACAACCTGTGCAGTGTAGTGGCCACGCTTGGGATGAAAGAGCACCTGCCCGACAATCTGATAGTCCACCAAGCTTGAATTGCTAGTGAATGAACCGATTGATGAGCTGCTTTGGCCGACACTGAGAGGTGAAGCCGTTGATAGGGAGAAGTGGAGGGGGAATGTGACGCTATGAGCAGATTTAGATGCGTAGGCAGCAGCTGTATCGTTTCGTGTCTCCGGAACGACCATGAGAACCTGAGGCCAGAGTGTACGCACACCACAGACTGTAAGAGGAAGATCGCATCCTTCGTGGGGGCAGAGTAACTCTTGTTGACGAAGACGGTGCATGAACGCTTCTTTGTTCCAGTCTTGCCCACCAGGACGCGTAGGTACGAAGAGTGAGAGGTAGTGTGCAAGACTGGTTGAGTCCCCATCGTGGCTGACCTCGGAGCGTAGGATATTCATCACTTTCGTGTCGCGGTTCGTGAGCGCAAAGCGTGTGACGATTGGTGAACGAGATGGGTAGCTGATATGTCCAGAAGAACAGACTGCGAGTGCTTCGTGCTGAACACCAAACATAGATGACACTTGCTCGTCGTCCATTTCCTATGAAAAAAGATCCGTAGTGGTTACTGGGTGTACGTCGCATTTTCTGGTGGTATACACGTACTTGTATAGCCAGAGTTATCCAAGTCAGAGATGATCCATAACCATTCGAGGGTGTAACAATATCCCAGCGCGTCTCGATGGCCTGACGTATAGAACAATGTATAGATGCGAAGGTGATATGTGGGGTGACGTCTCTCGAGGGAGCCAAGATCCAAGCTAGTCGAGTCTGATAATGAAAGAAGATCGTGCGGAGTATGGCCGGAGAGTCCTTGTGGTCGACACCAAGGATCTGGATGAAGCGCTGACGAGACTCGGGTGTCCACAGAACAAACGCACGGAATAGCAACTCGAGGACGGTGTCATAGAAGCATGAGTTCTTGTTCCATGTATAGGATTGCAGAGATCGTCTGGCTATGGCGTTTGAGGGCGACTGGGGAAACACTCCATCAGGACAGCTGAACGACTCTGCTGGTTTCGCGCTCCCCTTTGGTATGTGAGTGAGTTGTGTGGTGGACTGAGATCTTACGACACCCTTCGACGATGCCTTCGTATGACGCTTCGACTGGGAGCGAGCACGGCGAGCAGTAGATGGTCCAGACGAAGACGCACGTACTCCACTATGTGTATCATGCAGCGAAGAGGGAGCAGGCTCTGCCTGCACAAGAGCTTCATAAGTGTCTGGAGCACGCCCCGCCCATCGTTTTCGTTGAATCTCATGGATGGGAGCCGAGTAGAGCGAGACCGAGGTGCAGAAGGATTGTAATGGCCCGCTACAGGTGCATGCTGTCAGTCGCTCACATGCTAAAATAAGGGGTAGACAAGTGCGTACCCTTCGCAGCGTCATACTGAGCTTTGAGTTGATTGACATGGGCAAAGAGAGCTTCGATTCCTTGCGGAATCTGATGTGACTTCCCCGTAGCGTGATGGAGGAGAGAATGTTGCGTCTCAATAGGGTTGGATGTCTGAGGAATCTCTGAGTGCCGAAACTCGACGTCGGGACCTTGCTGAAGAGCTGGGAAGATCATGGCAGCGATGTGGTCTTGCTCCCACCAGCTGATCCACTCTTGAAGGACAGTGGGGAAGTCAGTTCGAAGCCGCTGCATCGTCATGGTGAAAACTTCGGCGGATGTCGTGTCGAGGAGAGTGTTAATGGACGTTTCATAAGTGTCCTGAAGATGGGCTGGTACAATGGCCTTGTCCTTCTTGATACGCATCACAGAACACTGGAAGTGGACTCGACAACCTTGCTGATACTTGGAAGCATCCTCCAGAAAGCGAGCGCGCTCAAGCTTCTGTGCGGCACCAGAAAGCCGGTCCCAGCCTGCGATGCGAGAGATCATGGCATCTACAAACTCTTCAGCATGTGCAGATCGTTGCGCCTGGGAGAAGTCCATGATCTAGGGCACTGGGACATCAACAGATGAACGGCTGAAGAGCGACAAAGAACCGTACCGTGGTGAGGTACTTCGGGTCAAATTGCTCCCCAGAAACGTCCAAGATATGCTTGTTGAGGCGTCGGAAATGGGGGCGATGATGATCGGTGTCCAGTGCGTCGATCTATGTGTAGAGAACAGGGACCCACTGCTGTATGACCGTACTGAATGCACATGTTGCCAAGAGAGTGCCCGTGCCAGCAAAGAACGAGTGGTCGCCATCAGTACAGAAGCCATGACGGCCGGCATCAGACCCAGAGTCGTCCTGAACGATCCAATCTTGAACGCTGTCTCTGATAACATCGAGCATGAACGGCGACTCCAGGGTGAAGTATGTAGGTCCACTGAAGCTTGACTCGATGATGAATCGCATGCCAAGCTTGTTGTTGAGACCCCCGAGCTCCCTCAGGACCGCCCGACCACCCTTGGAGCCACCAGACGTCAAGCCCAGCCTAGCCTTGCTCTTTTCGACAGCGTTGCGTGCTGCCCGAGGATCTGCAAGACGAGGGTTTATGTTGGCAAGAGGCACAGAGCCTGGTGTCGCATCACTGGTGCACAGTTGATGAACAGAGGCTCCGGGTCGCCGGAGAACCTGCTCGTCCACCGCAGACTCCTCCCAGCGGGTCATCTTCTCACGTGGAGGGCGCACATGCACATGCATACCGGAGTGTTCCCATACCTTGAAGCGCTGCCCATCGCGTTGTGCCTCGTAGATATATACGGCTGCGTCGCACTGGATGTGGTCAACAGCACCGATGGCCTTGCACTGTGCGTTCAGGCATGGTGTATGATGTAGCTGCTCCAGACGCTTCGGTTTGGTGGTGAAGGGGCGCAGCCAGTGGCCGCACTTGCGGCACCTCATAACTCTCATGCAAATCCGTGTTTCAGTACGGACCCCCTTCCGGTTTGAAAACCCGTTGGAAGACCAGACCCACTTGTTCTCGTTCCATTCGAAGTCATCAGGCCCCTTCTTCTCCCGTAGAGCCCAGCCCTGAGGCCAGTAATGCGCATCTGTCGTGCACAATCCATCACATTAGTTGCAGTTCAGTTAGAACGGTCGCATAGAAGATCATGCAACCGCTCAATCACATAACGACGCACCAAGGTCTGTAACATGTCCTCTTGCCAACACATCTGAGACCTGTGCCTCCCCTACTCCCTCCGTATGATTGCTGCGCCCCTGTGCGCTCTCGTTGGACGTTTTGAGGAGATTGACGGCAGCCGATGGCTCTAGAGGGCTGGACGATGCGTGCGAAGCTGGTTGTATGAGCCCTATCGTGGCGGTGAGTATATGCACGGTATATTGATCCGATGAAGTTGTATACCTTGGCTGAGTGTTGCGATAAACGCAGCAGCATCTTGTGGGGTCGACAGAGTAAGCTGCATGCTGGGTGCAGGAGTAACTGGAGGTCGTGTGGGCTGATGTGTATCGCTCTGATGGTGCGGATCAGGGTCTCAGGACCAAGGAAGATGTAGAATGTTGAGAAGCCGGCGCAGCATTGAGAATGTCAGCAAGAAGAGCATCCAGAAGGGCAAGCAAAAAATGAGTCGAGAAATTGCAAGTAATGAGCGCTTAATGTCCGGTCAAAAGACGGCTGCTGGAGCGGCTGCCATTCCTCTCGATCACTTGTCAGTCTGGATTGAAAGGGCTGAAATCTGATATATAACATTATCAGAGACATATAGGAACTATGCTACAACACTGCACGACGTCAATACCAGTGCTAGAACCAGTAGAAAAGATGTGTTTACATACCATGAATCTGCGATGCATAGATGCAGCGGACAATCATGCTAGCATGCCCTGTCAATGTCAATGTTCACTAGGAGTCGTTGGTCAGAGGAGCCCCACCTCTGTAATCCATGTTGTTACCGAGTTGATAAACTGAGCATGCCAGGAAGACCCGCAGACGTGACAGGTCGACTCGGATGAGAAAGCTTTCTAGCATGCTATGAGACCATATCTCAGACACAAATTAGCAACAGGATACTCATTCATACAATAGGGTCAGGTTCTTACCCGCATATAACATCGTTCACAAGGTAAGGAAGCACTATGCCTAAGGAGAATACCGATGGTTTGAGGTGCCTGTCACTCCTACAATTCATGGTAAGCCGACCTGTTTGAGTGCAAGTAAAACACATGGATGTCAAGACAAAGTAATAGCTTATATACTCTTCAATGAGACTTACCAATGCGGCCATGGTGGTGTGAGAGAGAGGTAGGAGTCACAGAGCGAGACGCACTGAGAATTGTAAGAGGTGCTTCGTGGTGGGAATAGAAGCACTGGGCCTCGTGCCCACATATCCCAATCCGGCAGGTGCTCTTCAAACATCAATCTCGAGCTTTGCTAGTGCGTACACAGGTTCGTTCTCCTACAGCTCACACAAGACGCATGAGTAAGCGAGAACACGGGAGAACACATGGGGTACGGGTGTGAGTGTGTGTGAACGGGAGCTTGCGGGAGCGCCCGTGTGCTAACTTATGCGCGCGTGAGCTGACTTCCCCCGTGCACACACGCTAGCTCACGCGAGTTCAAACCAGACAATGCTATTTACATTGATGTACATATAGGTGTGTGATAAGGAGCTCAGTATCCTGCTTTACAGGTGCTTTCGGGTCACATAGCACTGACATCTGCATCTGCGAGCGAAGACCAAGTGCATTAAAGCCCGAAGTGAGCTCACGCTAGCTCCCGTTAACGGGTCTTCTGGGTGACGTACTAGCTTTCCCTGCCAAAAAAGCTACCCCCCGCTAGCAATTTTGGATTTGGGTGGTACAAGCTACTACCACCCGGTAGAATGTGAACCGTCGGGTCGTTCTTGGCTTGGGAGCCGTCATGTGAGTCGCTGATGCCGTTCGTATCTTCGTTTCTGCCTTCGAGTATTGCATGTCCTTCATGTGTAATCGCCAGAAATGATTAGGGCCTCGGAGATCATAATGAGAAGGTCGAAGAGAGTACGAAAGAGGCATGCCAACGGGCGCTATCTGATCTGGAACAAGAAGAGTTGAGTACTCGCGCTGGGTACTCAGAGACGGGACCTATAGACCAGATTAGATCGTGAGCCACAACAGTGTGCGGAAGAACTTGCACCGGAATGCATCATTTCTCGTTTGTCGCTAAAGCGGTCGCAATTTCATCTTGTGCTTTAGATCGTTGTCACATTCTGGGACGGCTTTTTCTCGGTATACATACCGTGTGACGTGAGCTGAAATAAGAATAGATACGAGGAAGGGGCTCCAGAGCTACAGTTGTAGAGAGATTCATTCATGAATGCCATCTGTCACAGCCAACGAGCTGTGCCACCAGATAAACAAAGACAAGCTTACTGGTGATGGGGTTGGTGCTGAGGGGCGAAGCAACTCCAAGTGACACAGCAAGAGATGATGCAACGAAGTAGATTCCCTAGACTAGAAGGGGCAGTGAGAGGTAGGGCTGCTAGCTACCTACAGAGGAGATGGGGGATCGACGAGAAGATCAAGTCTGAGGTTCCCTGCCTCAGACTCCCTACTATTTATACAAATGCAATGGTGCACAGACCAGGTACCTATTTGTCCCTGCTTGGTCAGAGTCTGCTGACTCATGTCCTGCCTCCTGACCTGTCACATGATGTCCTCATGACTGATACCTGAGTCATGCTAAGTCCGGGCT